CACCCCAGCCCGCCCCCCGGTCCCCAGCCGTGCCCCGGTGTCCCCGTGTCCCCGCTCCGGGACACATTTCACGCGCGGAGCGCGACAAAGATCGCGGCGCGGAAGGGGCGTGGCCTTCTTAGCATCAGCCAATGGATGCGCGCGGCGGGAGTGGGCGGGGCCGGCGCGCGGCGGGCGCGCAGGCGCAGTGCGGGCGCAGGCGCGGAGCGGGCGGGGGCGATGTCGCGGCGGGCCCTGAGGCGGCTGCGGGGGGAGCTGGGCGAGCTCGGCCTCGGCCTCGACCCCGGCCCGGAGCACGCCCGGGAAGGCGGGCCGCCGCCAGCCCCCGGGAAGGGGCCCCGCGGGACGCCCCGCGCCGGCGTCAGCAACCGCTTCGAGCTGGTGAGGGGGCAGTGCCGGGGGGCAGACCGAGGGGCAGCGGTGGGGGACAGCTGGGGTGGCAGGGACTCGAGGACAGGGACTGGGGGGCATCTGGGGGGATAACTGGAGGCAGTGACAGCTGGGTGGGCAGTCGGGGACATTGCTGGGGACACCTGCTTGGGGACAGCTGAGGTGACAGTCCCTGGGGTGGCTGGAGTGACAGTGCCCTGGGGACAGAGGCTGACAGGCTTTGGGGTGACGGGAGGGGGGCAGTGACTGAGGGGGGCTCACTGCGGGGGTGGCAGAGGTGACAGTGTGTATGGCAGTGGTTTGGGGTCGGTGTTTGGGGTGGGGGTGATCAGTCTGGGTGCTGAGTGGGAAGGGTGGGGGGCAGCAACTGGGTGGAAATGGGAGAGAGGCCTGGGGGGGTTTGGACGTTGTCAGAGCTGGGCTGGTGAAAATGTTTTTAGGAACATCCCTGCCACCTTCCCAGCACTGCAGGGTCCCAGTGCTGGGTGTCAGATGGGCCCTGGTGGCGCTGCTGGGTCCTTGGGGTGACAGAGCCCCGTCCTGCTCTGCAGACACCTCCTCCAGCCCCAGCCGTTCCCTGGCCTTCCCCAAGGCCTGGCTGTGTGAGCATAGGCAGGGCTGGCTTTGGGAGCTCTGCCAGGGGAAGAGCAGAGTCCGTGCTGTGAGGGGACACCATGGGGGTCCTGTGCTCCCCTCCCTGTCCCTGGCACTGTCTGGGCAGCCACGCTGGGCACGAGGGGTGTCCACACCTCCATCCGTGTGCAGGAGGAGTGTCGGAGCCGATCCGTGGGGAATTCTGTGCCTGCAGCTTGTCCCTGTGTTTGCAGATCCCAGCTGAGGAGTCGGAGGATGAGCTGGTGGCTGATGAGGAGCGAGCAGACACCCGGCTCGGGGAGCAGGACACGGCGGCAGGGAGCCCCCAGGGGAGCAGGGGCAGCAGCAGGGAGGGGGCTGTGAGCCCCTCGGAGACGGCCGGTGATGGACACAGAGAGGGGCAGGAGGCCCAGCAGCCAGACAGAACGGTAAGTGCTGCCAGGGTGCAGGCAGGGACACAGCTTCTGCCTGGGAACGGGCATCTGGGGAGGGTGAGCACCGTGGGGCTGGGGGCTGGCTTTGTGTGTGGGATCCAGGGGGATTTTCCAGCTGCACAGAGGAGGCACCTGAGGAAGGCGTTGTGCTGTGTCCACGTGAGCATTGAGGTCAGGCCAGGGAGGAGTGGTCTCAGGGAGGCATTTGTTTTGGAACAGGGGATGTGAGGACTTCAAGCAGTGTCAACTGAATACTGAACTTCTTGCCTTTAATAATTTGTTGTCATTGGCTGTCAAAGTTCCTCCTGTGGTCTGTATCAGCCCAGGAGTGTCTCCTTGCAGGATTTTCTAAGGAAAGGGGCATTTCATTAACAATGAAGGGCCTGCCCAGATCTCACCAGAGAAGAGGGCTGGGGGAGAAAAGGGGGTTGGCCCCTGGTCTCACTTGTTTGCTGTGCATTTGGGGTTTGTGTCCCTGGTTTGGGTGGCACAGGAGCAAAGTCCACTGCCTGTGCATTCCAGCTGTGCCAGTGGCCTCTGCCAGCCCAGGGGCTGTGAGTGCTCTGGGTGGTGTGTCCCTGTGTGAGCAGGGCTCCAGGGGTCCTGACCTGGTGAGTTTGCTGTGCCAGCACTGCAGGACACACCTGTGGCTGCTCCCAGAGCTCCAGGTAGGACATGGCAGCCCTGGGCAGGGAGCTGCTGCTCTTGGGCAGGGCCAGGACAAGCTTGGAGCAACCTGGTCTAGTGGAAGATGTCCCTGCTTACACAGGGGGGTAGGAACTGGATAAACTTTGAGGTCACTTGCACCCCAAACCATTCCATGATGCTGTGATCCCTTGCTAGACCCTGGAAATGTGCTTGCCAGCTGTGCCAGTCAGGTTAGGGAATGCCCCCAGCATCCTGAGCTGGAGCAGCTGAATCCGTGGGGAGAGGCACTCTGGCACTGGGGCCTTTGTCAGGTGTTGGTTTCTGTGGAAGGGGGAGTGAAATTGGGAACTGTCCTGCACCCTGGAAAAGCAGAAATGCAGCTTATCCTGGGGACTGAGGGAGGCTGAAGCATTTCCTCAACACCTGGCACAGCTAAACTTGTTTGTCTCCTGATTTTATAACCTCAGATATTGATGTGAAAGTCAGCTGAGGTTTAACCCTTTGTGAATCTTTGGTGTTTTCCTCCATTTTCTCCTTGTGTCTTGATTTCCAAACACTAAAGGGTGAATTTTGGTTTCATTGAAGGACCCTCAGTGTGCTGATCCCTGTGGGAAATCCCTCTTCTTCCCATGGAGCTGGCACCCCTGGGAATGCTGACAGCTCTTCCCTTTTTCTTTGCAGCTGGCAACAAGTAACAAGCCACGGAAGAAAAAAAAGAAAAGGAAAACCAAGAAAAATTCAGCAGGAGAGACTGTGGTATGTCTGTGTGTATGTTCTGAGTCAGGAACCAGGCTGGTTCCTCCAGTGGGGCTGGCAAAGTGGGGATTCTGAGGTGACTGCAGGAGAGATTCAAGGCAAAAAAAGCAGTTTCAGATTTTAAAGAAGCCTCTTTAGGATTGTGGAATCCTGGAATGGTTTAGATTGGAAGGGACCTTAAGCTCACCTCATTCCATCCCCTGCCATGGGTAGGGAGACCAGTGCTGGGGACCCCAGAGCTAGAAGAAGCCAATGGATTAAAGTCATTATCTCCTTAATTCAGTAGGAGTGAGGTTCAGATGGCAGCTGGTTTTCTGGTGAGCTTTGAGTCTGAACTGTCCACAGAATTACAGAATCCTTAAGGCTGGAAAAGACCTCCCAGACTGTGGAGTCCAACATTGCTGTTCACTCCAGGGAGATTCTGTCCTCAGCATCCTGAGCCACCGGATTCTGGAGTGAATGGCTGAGCCATGACAGCAGGGCCAGCACCCAGCTGCCACCTCCTCCCTGGGAATGCCACTCAGGAGTGAGTTTCTGAGGTGGAGAACCCTCCTGGAGAGCCTGTTTCCTTTCCCAATCCAGGAATACTGAGCAGCAGGGGGACATGTGCCAGCTGGAGGCTGGGGGGACACCCAGACCCTGGCAGTTGGGGTTGCCAAAGAGGGATAATACAGCCTCTGTTCCAGCACTTCCATGCAGAGCACATTATCCCTTTCCTGTGTACACTCCACGCACAGGGGCTAAATTTAGCTTAAAAAGGCAGCCTGGCACTGCTGCTTGGGTGTCCTGAATGGAATTCTGTGTTCCACCCATGGACATCATGAGGAGGATGTGAAACAGGCACGTAAGAAATGTGTCACTTGTTGTTTGTTGGGGGAAAATGGAGGGAAATCAGGGTTAAAGTGTTATGTAACTTTTGGATGTGAGCAGCTGGATGGATTCCTGGGGTGGTTGGAAAATGGGGAATGGGAGACTTGGGTTAAAGTCATGTGAGTGTTTGAGACCTTGTCATGAGGCTCACAGCTTAGTAACTTGGTTTTTCTGTGGAAAATAGAGGGTGAAGGCTGGTTATTTAAATATTTAAAATGTCTTTGGACAAGGGCCTGGAGTGTCAGGATAAGGGAAAATGTCTTCCCACTATCAGAGTGCAGGGTAAGATGGAAACTTGTGAGGAAATTCTTCCCTGTGAGGAGAGTGGTGATGCCCTGGCACAGGTGCCCAGAGCAGCTGTGGCTGCCCCTGGATCCCTGGCAGTGCCCAAGGCCAGGCTGGATGGGGCTTGGAGCACCCTGGGGTAGTGTGAGGTGTCCCTGCCCATGGGACATGGAATGAGATGAGCTTCAAGGTCCCTTCCAACCTCAACCATTGTGGAATTCTCTGAAGAGCCACAGCCCCTCACGCAGGGAGGCAGCTGGGTATGATCTGATGGAATGAGATGAGCTTCAAGGTCCCTTCCAACCTCAACCATTCTGGGATTCTCTGAAGAGCCACAGCCCCTCACTGAGGGGTGATCTGGGCGTGATCTGTGCCGGGTGACCTGCAGGCTGCTGTGACTCAGCCTGTAACAAATGCCTTGGCTTTGCCTTCCTTAAGGAAGACAACGACCTGGAGGACATCGAGAGCCTTTTGGAGAGGATGGAGGAGCCCAGGCTGGCCCCGCAGAGCCAGGGCGGGATCCCCGCCGACAGCCGGCCTCTGCTCTACGTGGAGCACAGGTACTGCTGGCTGCCCTGCTCTGGCCTTGCTCTGAGGGATGGCTGCTCCCTGAGGAGCAGGCTTGGGGCCTCCCAGGGTCACCTGGCCAGGAGCTCTGCCCCTTGACTGAAAGGGGTGGGATGGTTGTGCACATCCCTGCTCCCGTCTGCTCCTCTGGGAGCTGTGCTTGGTTCTGATGGGGATTCTCTGCTGCCAGGCCTGCTTGCAGTGGTGGCAGGACCAGATTAGTCTCCAGAGGGACCTTCCAGCCTCAGAACCTCTGCAGAGGTGTCAGTAGCCCTGGTGTGTAAAGCTTGCCATGGGATTCACGTGTGCTCCCGAGCCCTGGCTTCTCCCAGGATGATCCCAGCTAAGGCTCCAGCTGCCCTGGAGAGGGCAGCAGCAGTATTCCCCAGCTCTGCAGCAGGGCAGCAGGAAAGCCTGTCCATGGAGCAGGGCTTTCCCTTCCAGTGCTGGCAGTTCCAGTCTCTTTCTCCATGCTGTGTGATCAGTGGGGAGTGTTGACAGTTTGAGGGTTTTCCAGAGGCACTTTGGTGTGCTGGGTGTTGATGGAGAGACTTGAGTGTGGCACTTTTTAACTGATGGAGCTTTTCTTTCTTCTTTCCACCTTCTCAGAAACTTGAATCCAGAGAATGAGTTGAAGAGATACTTTGGGGCTCGTGCTGTGCTCGGGGACCAGAGGTTAGTCCAGAATTTGGTATTAAACCCTTTCCAGATCTGAGGAGGCGTGTCTGTCCTGCACTTGGCAGGGCTCATGGAGTCTCCAGTGCCACACCTGGGCAGGTAATCCTGGGCACAGGATGTGTTACTCATTTAGTAGTTGCTTATTGGAAGAGAGGAATATTTTCTGTGACATGTGCAAGGTGGGGAAACACTTCTCCAGGCTTTTACTGGCATTTGCTTTTTCTTTTGCTCCTTTCCCCTCTCATTTATTTCCAAACCACCCTTCAAAGTCATTTCACTCAAGTTCACAGAATGCAGGCACATAGATTTTGTTTGTTTCTCCACCATTTGTCCCTTGTTGCTATTCCAGAGCCTCTGGACAGAAAGTGAACCCTGAATAATTTCAGCATCTCATGCCCCTTGTATCCAGGGGCCCAGGGAGCCTGTTGCTCCCTGGGTGTGATGTCTCTGCATTTATATACTGCACTGTGCTCACTGTCATCCACAAAATCCTCACTTCTATGAGCTGGTTGGAAAACCAAGAATGGTCTGAGCTTGGAGCAGTGCAGGGGAGGGAGAGAGTCTGTGGAGGAGCATTTGGTACTTGAGGAAGGAACTGCAGTCCCTTGGGATTGTCCTGTGCAGGGCCAGGAGTTTGACTTAAAAATCCATGTGGGTCTTTTCCACCTCAGAATAGTCTGTGATCCCTTTCTGAGGAGGTGTGACTCCCTCAGTGTAATCTTGATCCTGAATTGCTTCTGAGCCAATAGATTGTGCATTTTTGAGTACAGCTTAAACTAATCCAGTGAACATTTGAAGGGAAGAGAGATGAGTCAGAGGGATGTGGGGCTCTCCTAATTGGACCTGGGGAGCTGTTTGAAGCACAGAGGCAGCTGAGGGTTTGGCAGGGATAAAAACAGGGAGAGAAGCTCTGGAAGTGGAGATGCTGGAGGCACTGGCTGGCCTAGATGGTGCACATAAGGCAAAGCCTGAGCACAGGTGTGTTGTGTCTTGGAGGCAAACAGCTCTGGGCACAGCTCAGTGCAGCTGTGTGTGGGGAAGAAACTGGATCTCATCTTTCCCTTTACCATGGTTTCATCCTGCTCGTGCTGTCAGTGCAGAGCTGTGAGCTGTGTGTTCCCTCCCAGGCCGAGGCAGAGGCAGCGGCAGTACGTGCGCAGCATGTGGCTCACAGCTCCCAAGAACACCTGGCCACGCTACAGCAAGACAGGTGAGGCTTTTGGGGCTGCTCCTGCCCTCTTGGCCCTTGGCCCATGTGACATGGATGCTGCTCAGGGCATGGAGACTAAGAGGGACCTGCTCCTCAGCTGGTGGAAACACACCTCCTGCCTCAGCAGAGAGCTCTGTGGAGTTGTACCTTATGATTTGGGTTTGTTTCCCCCTCTTTTGGAGGTAGCAGGGCACGGGTGCTTCCATCTCAGCAGCAGAATTGCTGGATGATGAGAAGTATCCCTGAGGAGGATGAGCAGCCTGGGCTTTTTGGGTGGGTTTGAGACTTGAACTCTTGAGAGGGGGAAAGGAGTGGAATTCTCTGTGAGTTTCCAAAAACACATGTGTCTCTGAACCCAGTGGTGCTGTGAGAGAGCAGAGGAGGTTCTCTTGGGTACCCAGGTCTGCCCTGCACCCTGCAGGTATCACCATGCAGCTGCTGGACACCCGGAGGGGCGTGCAGCACTTCACCTTCGAGCACCACCGTGAGTACCAGCAGGTCCAGTTCAAGTTCCTGGATGCTGTGGAGTCCATGGACCCCAACAACATCGTGGTACGTTGGGTTGGTCGTGCTGTTCCCTCTGTGCTCCTGCAGCCCCTTTCCCTGGGAAGCTGGGCTGGTGCATTCCACTGGAATCGTTTGGGTTGGAAAAGCCTCTAAGCCAGCTGTTCCCCCAGCACTGCCAAGGCCACCCCAACCCTTGTCCCCAGGTGCCACATCTACACGGCTTTTAAACCCCTCCAGGGATGGGGAGTTCACCCCTGCTCTGGGCAGACTGGGGCAGGGCTGGACAAAACTTCTGGGGAAGGAATTGTTCCAAATATTCAACCTGAAACTCCTCTGCCACACCTTGAAGCTGTTTCCTCTTGTCCTGTCCCTGTTCCCTGGGAGTAGAGCCAGCCCCCCTGGCTGTCCCCTCCTGTCAGGGAGCTGTACAGAGCCAGAAGGTCCCTCTGAGCCTCCTTTCCTCCAAGCTGAGGCCCCCCAGCTCCCTCTGCTGTTTCTGCTGCTCCAGACCCTTTTCCAGCTCCATTGCCCTTCCCTGGACATGCTCCAGCCCCTTGATGTTTGTGTTGGGGTGAGGGGCCAGAACTGACCCCAGGGTTGGAAGTGCCCCAGCAATGCCAGCACAGGGGATGAGCACTGCCCTGGTGCTGTGGCCTCACCATTGCTGACACAGGCTGGTGCCCACCTGGGATCCTGTCCATCCACTGTCTCCTGCACCCCAGGTTCTTTCCCAGCCACTTTTCCCCCAGCCTGTTTCACTCATGGGGTTGGTGTGACCCACAAGCAGGACCCATGTTGACCTTCATCCCTCTGACCTCATCCTCTTGATCCATGCTGTCCAGATCCCTCTGCAGAGCCTTGGATTATTTATTTCCAGTCTTGTTTGGGCTGTTAGGACTTGTTTGGGCTGTAGAGCCCTGTGTCCCTCTGTGTGGGGTGAGGCAGCGCTGAGTGCTGAGCTGTGCTGTCACCTTGTTAACCAGTGACCTCCTGGGTGCAGAGGAGCTCTGGTGGCTGGTGGCCGAGCCTTGGTGGCTGTGCCAAGCATGTGCCAGGTCACCTTCTGAGAGAGGAACCCACAGGAACTGTCCGTTTGGCTGGAAGGGTGGGAACAAAGCCCCCTTGTCTCAGCTCTTAGCTGGGAAAGGAGGAATATTGTATAAACCCATCGTGAACTGGCAATCCAAACTAACAGCTGTTCTATTTATAAACTCCTGCAAGGATGAAAAATGTGTCTTTTCTTGGTATTTCAGCAAAGCAGGCTTTTGTGTTGGGAGTCCTTCATGCGTGTCCGAGCTCATTAAGCTGTATGGTAACATTTATAGTTTGGAGTGATAAGCAACAGCAAAATTGCTCTGCACCCAACTAAACCATAACTGAGGGATGTTTCTCTGAAAGGTCTGGCCACATGAGCTGGGATGCATGCCCTGGAGATGTTCTTTAAAGAGCCCATTGTCTGCTAAATAAAGTTTACTTCCTTGTGCTTTCCCACCCTCGGCTCAGGGCCGCGGGGCTCTCTGCAGCTCAGCAGTTCTGCCTGCACTCAGGGATTTGGATTAAGTGAGCCAAGGTAATTCCTGTGCAGCAGCGAGTGTCCCAAGGACAGCTCAAGCTCAGTCCCCCACACAGGACAGGCTTTCTGTGGTGTTTTAATCTGGAAGCTCTGACCCTCTTAGGGGATCAGGCTAAATTTGAGAACATTTGTACAGCTTGGAGTCTTCCCCTTTTCTGTCAAGGGTGAGGTTTAACAGATGAATTTGGCAATTCCAGACAGTTTGTCCATGGTCACCACAGTCCTGGCATTTCTGGAGCCCAGCTCTGCCTTGTTGCTGTGGTTTCAGCACATAAAACATTACTTTTGGGGAGCCTCTTGTTCAGTGAGTGTTTTTTCTGCACTTGCTGGTAGGTCCAAAGGTCACCCTTGGTGACCTTTTCTTGGCTTTTTCCCATTACAGTGCTCCATGTCCCCCCAGAAAATGGTCTGGAAAGGAGCTTAAGAGTTTTACCCCTTAAGGAAGAGGTTAAGCATCAGGCAAGTGGCTCCAGGCTGGGTTGGGCCAGCCTGGAACATCCAGTCTTTGTGCTGTTGGTGGTCCCACAGGTCCCCACCCTGCAGATGGAAACTTTTGGAGCTTTGGAAGCTTTATTTTTAAAGTTTCAGGAGAGAAAAAAAATCCCCAAACTAAACTGTGAGAAGATTTGTAGCTTCAGTATTTTTTATTGAACTGAGGAGGTTTTAGGTACTTGAGAAAAGCCTATTTATAATATAATTAGTGAATTGAGAAGCTTTTAAAATTAAACTTCTCTTCTGAAGCCTGGAATAAATATTTATTTATTATTATTATTACCCATTACTATTGCTGCTTTCTGGATTTGTAATAGATGTGTCCAAATATCTTCTCAGTATCCAGAGAATGCAAAACCTGATCAAATGCTCACAACTGTTGAGGGATAGATAAAAAGCCCCAAACCTGTAACAGTGCCTGCATCTCATTCTCTCCTTTCCAAGGAAATGGAGGAGCTGGGAGACATCTGGAGGAGGACAGTGAAGATGAGCAAAGCCTGGCATGGCCGCTGCTGGAAAAGCTGGGAGGGAGCTGCCCAAGGGAGGCTGCCTTTGAGGGCTCCCATCCTGCAAGTGGTGGGGACAGAGCTCCCTGTGCCCTTCCAGCCTGGGGATGGATCTGACAGGGTGGGATTGAGGGAGCTCCTGGCATTGTGTGTCACACAGCTGGAAGGTACCTGGGTCAGTGACCAAATTCCTGAGCCACTGGTGATGACAGAGGCTTTGCAATGCTCTTGTGCAGCTGCTGCTCCAGATGAACCCCTACCACGTGGACTCCCTCCTGCAGCTCAGCGACGTGTGCCGCATGCAGGAGGACCAGGAGATGGCCCGGGATCTCATAGGTAAGCCTGAGGTGAGGAGTCCTTCCCTGGCAGGGCAGTGCAGGCCAGGAGCCTGCCTTTTCCTGGACCAACCTCAATCCCAGAAGGGTTCCTCTTCCCACCCAGAGTGTGATCTAACCTGGAAGTGCTCACTGCCCTGGTACCTGTTGCCACCACAGTGTGAAGTAACTTTGTGTCTGGCTGGGCTGGGAATGAGCTGGTTTTCTGTCTAAACCGAGTGCTGGGCAGTGCAGTGCTGTGCTGGTGTTCCTGTCCTGTCCCTGACACTGGCCTTGCTGTCCCCAGAGCGGGCTCTGTACAGCCTGGAGTGCGCCTTCCACCCCGTGTTCAGCCTCACCAGTGGGACCTGCAGGCTGGACTACCGGCGCCCAGAGAACAGGTGAGCAGGGCTGAGGGGGTGAGGGGGGCTCAGCTGGAGCCCCTTTGGCCACAGCCACCCAGAGTCACCACTGCTGCTCAGCCAGGGAGGCCCTGAGTGTCCCTTTCTGCTGGGGGCTCCTGGGACAGGCAGCTCGTGCATGGAAGCTTCTGCACAAAGCATCCCTTTTCCCCAGGGATGCCTTCCTGCAGTAGGCACTCTCCCTCCTTGTCATATCCTTCTCATGCCATTAGTACCCCTTAGCCCAAAATGGTCCTAAAAATCCTTGCTGTGTGTTTCCAGCCATCACCCCCAGCACTCACACTCCTCCCAGCCTGGATCTTTATGTAACTTCCAGCTCTGCAGCTGCTGGGAAAGGTGACTTTATTCTGGGAATTTTCCAGTCAGCTGACCCAAGCCATCTCTCCCAAACTGCTGTACCTGGAGGGTGCTCACATTTCAGCCCCTCTAGCTGACATACTTTGTGCCATCAGTGACCTGTATCACCAGTTCAGCTGTTGGGCCTCCCCACTCTGTGTCACTGTCCCCACACCCCTGGCACAAGGCAGGATATGGACTTGGGGGATTTACTTGTCTTGGTCCCAGTCTCCAGAGCAGATTGTGAATTTTCTGTCCCTGTTCTTGCACAAAAAGATAGCAAAAACATGTGATGGGAGCATGGCGGGGGGAGGGTCTGTGGCACCCCATGCCACACCACAATGTGATGCTTGGGGGTGTGGAGCTCTTGATGACTGTGTCCCTATTTTGAGTGGCACAAAATACTTCTTTTCACATCTGGCCTCTAAGTCCCACTGCTGTTCCCATGCAGGGCTTTCTTCCTGGCTCTCTTCAAGCACCTGATGTTCCTGGAGAAGAGGGGCTGTCCCCGCACAGCCCTGGAGTTCTGCAAGCTCATCCTGAGGTATCACCGAGGATGGAGTGTCTGGGTTTGGGGGGACAGTCACCCCAGACAGCTTCTGCTGCTCCTGGGCTTGGTGTGGGCTCATTCCCACCCCTTAGAGCTGCATGGATCTGTGCTGGGGATGTGCTGGTGCCTGTGGAGAGGTGATGGGTGAGGAGGGGCCCTGGGTGGCCTGTGACTGCCAAACTGTGGCTGAGCTTGGGGGAGCAAAGTGTGGCAGTGGCTTCAGCCCACTCAGTTTGTGGCCACTGATCCTCCTCCTGGGTGGTGGCAGGGGACTGTCCCCTCTCTGGGGACACAGAGCACCACTGTGTCATCCTGCTGGCCATGCGGGAGCGACCGTGTTCCTTTTCTCTCCACTTGCTGAGTCACTGGATGTCACAGGGAGAGGCTGCTTGACTCGGAAATCAGGGCAGCTCTCTCGATTGTTGTGACACTGGGTTTGTTCTCTCCTCCTGCTCCCAAGCCTTGATCCTGAGAATGACCCGCTCTGTGTGCTGCTGCTGATCGACTTCCTGTCCCTGCGGGCCCGGGAATACTCCTTCCTGACCCGCCTCTTCCAGGAGTGGGAGGTGAGTGGCCAGCAGGTGAGGGATGGGTGCCTGGGGTGCTCCCCAGCAGGTGAGCCCTTTGGAGGGGATCTCACAGCCCAGCTGCCATCCCAGCAGAATTGGAACGATCTGTAAAGGCTGGGCTGTTGGTTCCTGTAATCCTTGGGTCCTGTAAATAGTTGTGAGAACTCAAAATTGCTCACTCAGCTGTGGGGGCACCGAGCCAGCGGCTGGGAGCTCACTTAACCCCAGCAGGCAGAGCCCCGACCCCGCACAGCATCATTCTCAGTGCCTCTGTCCCCGATCCTGCAGAGTCACCGGAACCTCTCCCAGCTGCCCAATTTTGCCTTCTCGGTGCCACTGGCCTATTTGTTCCTGAGCCAGCAGGAAGAGCGGCCGGAGCTGGAGCGGAGCCAGGCCCGGGAGCGAGCGGCCCGGCTCATCCAGCTCGCGCTCGTCATGTTCCCAAGCGGTGAGTCTGTCCCCTCCGGTGGAGGGCTTTGTCACTGTCCTCCTCTGGGACAGCCGGGACTGCCTTCCCGGCAGGCAGGACTGGATTCCCGGCAGGCTGATGCACAGGCTGGAATTTGCCAAGGGCCTTTGAGGAGGGAGCCCTGAGTCAGAGCAGGAGCGGTCAGGCAGAACGGCAGTGCCTGTGCCCAGGGTGGTGGGGAGAGTGCAGATCTGGGCTCCTCACCCCAGCACAGACACCGGGGGGCTGGAGAGTGTCCGGGAAAGGGAATGGAGCTGCAGAAGGGGCTGGAGCATCAGGAGCAGCTGAGACAGCCAGGGGGCTGAGCCTGGAGAAAGGGAGGCTCAGGGGGAACCTTCTGGCCCTGCACAGCTCCCTGACAGGAGGGGGCAGCCAGGGGGGCAGGCTCTGCTCCCAGGGAAAGAAAAAGAGGAAACAGCCTCAAAGTTTAGTATTTGGAACAATTCCTTTCCCAGAAGTGTTGTCCCAGCTGCCCAGGGCAGTAGTGGAGTCCCCAACCCTGGAGGAACTTAAAGGCCATGTGGATATGGCACCTGAGGACATGGGTTGGGGTGGTCTTGGGAGTGCTGCAGGAGTGGTTGGGATCAATGATCTTAGAGGCTTTTCCAACCTTTCAGTTCTATGGTTCCATGATTTTGTCCTCCCTCCCCAGAGCAGCCAGTGCTCCTCCACCAGCAGTGGTCAGGGGTGAGCAGGCTGGGGGAGGGTGAGGGCTGGAATGTTGGAGCAGGGAGATGTCACACCTCCTCAGGGCTGCCTGGAGCAAGGACAAGCCAGTCTCCTTGGCTCTCCCTCCAAGGCACAGCTCTGTTTTGGTTGTGCTCTCCCCATGGGTGCCCATCACTCTCCCTTTCATCCTGTGGGTGCTGCTGTCCATGAAAGGAGCACACAGCCCTCAGGCCCAAGGGAGGGTGTGTGCAGCAGGAAGAACCAGCTCTCCAACAGAGATTCAGTTTGTGGAGGCTGGAAACATCTTTTAGGCTGTTTGTTGGGGTGACTGAAATAATGCCCCTGTGAGCACAGGGACCAGCAGTGTCCTCACCCCCTCCTTGTGTCCTTGGTGCTCCAGGGGGTTCTGGCCCTGAGGAGTGGAGGGTGACCCCACCCTACCCTGCCCTTTTCCAGCAGCTCCAGATGAGTTCTCTGCCTTTGTCTTGCAGTTCTGATGCCGCTGTTGGATCACTGCAGTGTGCAGCCCGATGCCAGGGTTGCCTCCCACCCCTTCTTTGGGCTGAATGCCCAGATCAGGTAAGGCCTGGAGATGTTCTCAGCAAAGGGAAGGGATCGATTTTGCCGGCGGCGGGGATCTTGCGTGCTCAGACAGCTAATGGAGGAGCTTGTTTGGGTTCCCTGAGTAGGCTCATTTGGTAATGCCTCGTTTGATAATCCTTTTGATAATGGATTTCCATAATGGCCTCTGGATCGGGCTGGCAGACCCACCTCAGCTCAAGGTGGACGGGTCAGAAGTTCACCCCAGAGCCTGTTGGTGTGTGCAGGGAGGGAGGGTGACCTGTGTGTCCTGCCAGGCCAGGCTGTCTCCAACCAGTCTGCGTTCCCTTGACACGTGGTCTTCCTCAGCGTGCGAAGGCTCTCCCTCAGGCCAGGGCAGTGTTCCCTCATTTCATGGCTCTGCTTAGCCTAAAAATAGATGGAGGCAGAAGTTCTGGTGAAGAGGATGGCAATATCCAGGCAGGAGCCTGCGAGTCCTCTCGTGTTCCCACGCCAAAGGCCAGCGCAGAGCTGAGCCCTCAGCATCCCGTGAGGAGCAGGAGGAGGAGGAGGGTGCCGTGAGTAACAGCCATGTCCCGTAGCCAGTCGCCCGCCCTGAACCAGCTGACATCCCTGTACGTGGGCAGGACACACGCCCTGTGGAAGGACCCGGCTGTCATGGCCTGGCTGGAGCCCCACGTCCACGAGGTTCTGCGCATGGTGGACGCCCAGGACGCGCTGGTGCAGGAGGCCGAGCACAAGTGAGCACAGAGGGTGGAGGGCAGGGCTCCTGTGCCAGGGGACAGAGTGGGACAGAGGGTCTGTCCTGGGCAGCAGCACTTCCAGTGTGTGGGGCAGGCTCAGAGCCCCACAGCTGCTGGTCTGATGCTGAAGGTCACAGCATGGGGCTGGGAAGGCAGTGGCTCTTCCATGCTTTTCACAAGTGGGAATGTAGAGCTGAACCTGCACTGCATATCCTGCACTGCCTTCCCCAGGCTTGGCTGTCACCTGTACCCTGGAAACATCCCGGGGAGGTGGAGGGGTGGCCTGGAAGGGCAGGGATAGCCACACAGGGCAGGTGAGAGCTTAGAAACACTTCCCAGTGCTGAGAAACAGGAGAGAGCCATCAGGTGTCCTAAACCAAGGTCAATCTGCTCATTCCTGAGCTCTCTGCGCTTTCTCCAGAGCTCAGCAGCTCCCACCCCCTTTGGCTCGCTCTAAGCCAGCTCCATCCAATATGGCCTTGTCCCCCAGAGCCAGGGAAGCTGCTGACACTGCGCCTGGAGCAGCAGAAATGGGAATGTGCCTGCTCAGGGCTCACTGCTCTGTCCCCTCCCCGCCTCAGGAGGAAGATCCGGTACCAGAGCGCTCCCAGGAACATCTACCGGCACATCATCCTCTCGGAGATGAAGGAGGCCACGGCAGCCCTGCCTCTGGTGAGGGGCCTGCTGGGCCACAGGGGCTGTGGCTGCATGTGCTGTGGTGGCATTTGTGTCCCTGCTGGGCCTGTCTTAGCCCCTGTCACGCATGGCTTCTGTGGGTGCCCATGTTTGCTGCTGCTGGATGCACAGCGTTCATTCCTTCCTTTCTCCTTCATCCCTTCCTTTCTCCTCTCCCTGCAGGAGGTGACCTCCCAGCCAGTGATGGGGTTTGACCCCCTCCCTCCTCTGGATTCCATTGTTTCCTACACCCGACCAGAAAGGTACCACCTCCTGCACTGGCACAGCCGGCCGTGTTCCCTCAGCCCCAGGCCAGGCTGCACACGGGCACTCGGTGCTGGCATCCTCCTCCTCCTTGGCAGAGGAAGAGCTGTGGTGCTCCAGGCAGGCACAGCTACAGGCTGGACTGGTCCTGCTGCTTCCCACAGTGGTCATTCCCAGCCATAGGGCAAAAGCCAAGGAAAACCCAGGCCACGGCTGACTGGGAGGGTTGGGGGTAAATGGAAATGTAAATACAGCCAGTCCTGCTGTTGGGGTGATGCCATGTGTGTACCACACCAATCCACTCAGAGCAGAGCTGGTAGGATCATGGAATCCTGGAATGGTTTGGGTTCAGAAGACCTTAAAGCTCATCTCATTCTAGCCCCTGCAAGGGGCAGGGACCCTTTCCAGTAGACCAGGCTGCTCCAAGCCCCTTCCAACCTGGCCTTGGTTGTGCTCTTAATGATGGTTTGCTCAGAGTTGCCTGAATTCATTGGAACTCCCCAGTTCCCTCCCCCAGGGCTGGTTCCAGCAGCACCATGGTTCTCCCAGCACCGCCCACATCCCAGTGAGGAGTCACAAACTGAGCTGTACCTTCACCGCGGTGCCTCTTGTGTCTTGCAGGACGAGCCATCCCTCCAACGAAAGCACTTTATCCCTCTTCTTCCGCTCGCTGCTGCCAAATTTCAACTTGCAGGTGAGTGCACGCTGGGATCTGGGTGCACCATTCCCCCGTGGTGCTCCTGCTCCAGGAGCCGCTGCTGGCAGCATCCTGCTGCTGATCTGGCACCACTGTCCCCGTCCCTGCCACCACAGTGCTGCTCTCTCGTAGGGGGACATCCGGCACGACGGGGACGACGAGGCCGGGGCGGCGCAGGACCTGAACCAGGGCGTGAACAGGCTGATGGCGGCCATGCGGGACATGCTGGCCAACATCCAGTTCCAGGAGCCGCCCCGCGAGGACAATCCCGAGGGCGACGGCGACTGGGATTGAGCCGGGCCGTCCCTCCCCAGCCCCTCTGGAGTCACCCCCGATTTGTGTCGCACTCCAATAAAGTCACACAGATGGACTCGCTGTGGGAATGGGCTGTTCTGAGCAGGGGGCTGCATCCTTGGCTGGTCTCCATCAGGGAGGGGGCTGAAGCCACAGCCATGGGCCTTGTCCGGGGCCTCTCTCTCTCAACAGGGGACAAGGGCTGTCTGAGCATGTCCAAGCTAATCAACAGCAGCTGTCCCTTGTCCCCATGGCAGCTTAGTCCCCTTCTGGCCTCCTCTATGCACAATTTCCATCCTATTCCCCTCCCTGTTCTCCTGGCTCTTGTCCTTAATTCCCAGAGGGGTTTTACTGCCCTCTTCTTCAGCTCCTTTGTGCTTCCCATAGCCTGGATCTTCCTTCCCTCTGCAAAACACTCTGCACCCTCACTACACTGGACCTTCCAAAGGTCTGACAGTCCCCTGTGCCACTAGAATTGTGCATGGAGCACCTTTTTCAGCTTTTAATTATGTTTGGAGAAGAAATCTTTCCCCCTTCTTTGTTTGTCTATCGCTTATTCCCTCACCTTCATTCACCTAGAGCATTGAGTGAGGTAAGCCACAATCAAACCTTAACTCATCCTTGTTCCCGTAAAGCTTTTTTCCCTTTTTCTGCTGAGTAATGGTGAATACATGGAATAAATCCCTGTTGCTGCTGTATTGGCTCCCTGGGGGATGTAGCTGGGCTGGGTGTGCAGACCCTGAGTCTCAAGCCAGCCCGCCCTGGCTCCATTCCCCACTGGTATATCCAAATCCCACGGGATCCCATCCCTGTAATTTGGCACTGGGGCAGCCTGGGCCCCCATGCCCAGCGTGTGCAGCTGGGCCATTTTCATGCCTGCCAGAGGGAAGGGCTTCCCAGCGGAGGAAGTGGGTAAGCGTGGGAGCAGCCTGTGGGATCAGCCTGCCCGCGGAGCTGTGAATGGCCCTTTGGCAGCCGCGCGGCTCCAGGCATCAACACCGAGCGAAGGCACATGATGGTCAGATGGGCCCTGTCCCCACAGCCCGCCTGGGCTCCCTCCGGCGCCGGGCTCGGCAGCGTCCCATTTAACCGTGCCTTTGACGATTCCTATCGCGTCCCATGCCTGCCGTTGTACAACATCTTCCCCGGGGCCGTGGCAGTGGCACCCTCCCAGTGCCAATGCGTGGGACAGCCCGGACCCTGCAGTGCATGGGGTCCCATGGGTCCCCAAGGTGCGTGGATAGCTCAGGGGGTGTGGATGACCCCCACAGCAGATGGGACCCCCCAAGACAGGAGTCCCACGGGGCACACTGACCCCTGTAGGACACACAGGCCTGCAGGGCACAGGGGACCCCTCAAGATATGCAGGCCCCCAGGGTTCAGGGGTCCCCCCCTAGTGACACAGGACCTTAGGACATGTGGGGACCCCAAGGTGCACAGTCCCCCAGGGCACAGAGGACCCCTATGGCAGCGTCCCCAAGGTGCATGACCCCAGGGGCGCATGGACCACCCCAGGGCATTTGAGACCCCTGGGCACATGGTGATCCCAAGCAACCGGGGTCGCCAGGGCCATCCTGGGGGTGTCTCAGCCCTGGCCTCGGCAGCAGCCCCCCTCACTGCCGGGTGCCTCCCTCACGCAGGTGCCCACCCTCCTCGGAGGAGGAGCCGGGGGAGCCGCTTTAAAGTGGGGCAGAGAAAGGGCCCTTTCTTCCCCAGCACCCTGGGCCGGCGGGCGTGGGACGCCGGGCAGCGCTGGCACCGAGAGCGGCCGCCGCACCGGAGGGTCCCGGCGGGCACGCGACACCCCCGGCACATCCCAGGCCTCCCGTCCCCAATTCCTCGGCATCCCCTCGGCCTCGCCGCCGGGCGCCGCGGGAGAACTGGCGGGGCACAACGGGGGCTCGGGGGCTGTGCGGGTGCCACGGGGGGCCCCGGGGCTGAGGAGGGGGTCATGTCGACGCTGGCCCCCCTGCGTCTGCTGCGCGAGCCCTCGAATGCCAGCGAGGGCAACCACAGCAACGCCACGGTCGGGGCCAGCGGTGGCTGGTGCCAGGGGCTGGACATTCCCAACGAGCTGTTCCTGGCGCTGGGGCTGGTGAGCCTGGTGGAGAACCTGCTGGTGGTGGCCGCCATCCTGAAGAACAGGAACCTGCACTCGCCCACCTACTACTTCATCTGCTGCCTGGCGGTGTCGGACATGCTGGTGAGCATCAGCAACCTGGCGGAGATGCTCTTCATGCTGCTGCTGGAGCACGGGGTGCTGGTGATGCGCCCCAGCCTCGTCCGCCACATGGACAGCGTCATCGACACGCTCATCTGCAGCTCCGTGGTCTCGTCCCTCTCCTTCCTGGGGGTCATCGCCGTCGACCGCTACATCACCATCTTCTACGCGCTGCGCTACCACAGCATCATGACCCTGCAGCGCGCCGTGGTCACCATGGCCAGCGTCTGGCTGGCCAGCACCGTCTCCAGCACCGTCCTCATCACCTACTACCGCAGCAACACCGTCCTCCTCTGCCTCATCGGCTTCTTCCTCTTCATGCTGGTCCTCATGCTGGTGCTCTACATCCACATGTTTGCCCTGGCCCGCCACCACCTCCACAGCATCTCCAGCCAGCAGAAGCCACCCACTGCCCACCGTGGTGGCAGCCTGAAGGGCGCCGTCACCCTCACCATCCTCCTGGGCGTCTTCTTTATCTGCTGGGGGCCCTTCTTCTTCCACCTCATCCTCATCGTCACCTGTCCCACCAACCCTTTCTGCACCTGCTTCTTCAGCTACTTCAACCTCTTCCTCATCCTCATCATCTGTAACTCGGTGATTGACCCCCTCATCTACGCCTTCCGGAGCCAGGAGCTCCGGCGGACGCTGCGGGAGGTGGTGACGTGCTCCTGGTAGGCAGGGGGACACGGTACCGGCACGGCCACCCCCGCCCTGAAACGGACAGATGGACGGACTGACGGATGGACAGGACGAGCCGCGGGGTGCCCGGTCCGGGCGAGGGACTCGCGGTTCCCAATAAAGGCTCTTTGCAGTGACGCTGTGACCGGCATCGGGCGGCCCCGGGGAGCCCCGAGGGGAGAGGTCCCTCCCGGTCCCGCCGCTCGGTCAAGGGTCACTTGCTCCCGGCGGGAACCGGGAAGGACCGGCTGGGCGGCGGGAGGCTGGACCCTGCGCGGGGGGTGGTCCCGGCCGCCCCCGGACAAAGGGCCCATCACCGTCGCCTTTGTTCTCGGGCCGCGCCCGCCGCCGCCCACCTCGTCACCGGCACCGCCACTGTCCCCGGTCCCGCGGGGGCCACCGGCGGGCGGGACCCCCAGGGTGGCCCTCCCGTACCCTGTCCCTACCCCTCCCCGTTCCGGGACGCGGCTGGCAGGGGTGTCCCCTGTGTGTCCCCCCGCCCCACCACCGCCGCCGCCGCCCCCCGGGATGCTCCCGCCACCACCGGCTGGTCGCAGGGTGCCCGCGCGGGTCCCGGGGTGTCCCCGCTCCCCGCGGGTGTCCCCGCAAGCGCCCCGCCCCCCGCCTTTGTCCGTCAGCACCGCGGACAGCGCCCGCCCGCCCGCCGGGGGTCCCGGTGCCCCCCGCCCCGCTGAGCCCCGCTCGCCCTTTGGGTGCCCTCCGCCCTGCTCGGGGTTTGGGGTGTCTGGGGGATCCCCCGCCCCGCTGAGCCCTGTGCGGGATTTGGGGGGTCCTGATCCCCCCCGCCCTGCTCGGGATTTTGGGCGTTTGGGGGATCCCGGTGCCCGCCGCCCCGCTGGGACCTGCCCAGCCGTTCGGGGAGTCCCGGTGCTCGCCGCCGCTCCCTGCCTGGGGATTTCGGTGGTTGGGGTACCCCAGCGCCTCCTGCCCCACCCAGCCCTGCCGAGGGATGGGAGGATCCCGGTGCCCCGTGCCTCGCCCGCGGGTCTGGGGGTGTTCCGGTGCCTCCCGCCCTGCTGAGCTCCCCGTCCTCCCCAGTTCTGGGAGGTGATCAGCGACGAGCACGGCATCGACCCCAGCGGCAACTACGTGGGGGACTCGGACCTGCAGCTTGAGCGCATCAGTGTCTACTACAATGAGGCCTCTTGTAAGCGACCCCCCCGGACCCTCCCCGGCAGGGCAGCCTGGCACCCCCGCCCTGGGCTGGGCTGGGGCCCCAGTCTGACCCCCAGTGCAGGAGGAGCTGGGTCTGCTGGGCTGGGCTGGGCTGGGGAGGGGGCACACAGACAGACCCACCCCCTGGAGGTGTGGGGTGGGCAGGCACGTGCACCCCCCCGTGGGACCGTTTCCTTTGGGGCAGGGGGCAATCGTGCACGCCCAGTTCCATGGGACCCTGCGATTTGGGAGGGGTCACACACAACACCTGCACCCAACCCCCTGTTGGCCCCGGGAGGGCAGACATGTGCACCCGCCCCCTCACACCGTGTCCTGGGGGGGGGCAGGGGACACGTGCTCCTCCAGGTTCATGGGACCCTGTAGCTTGGGTGGGGGCATGACACATGTCCCACCCCATGGGACACTGCGGTGTGGGGGGGACACCCCAGTCCCACGGGACCCTGGGGTTTGTGGAGAGAGGGACACCTGCACTGCCCCTGTAGGATCCTGTGGTGTGGGAGGGACAAAACACCAACATCCCCCCAGCCCACGGGGAATGGGGCAGACATGTGCACACACCCCATTGTTCGGGGGACACGAGACATGCACCCACACCACACCTGGGATTTAGGGTGGGGGGACACAACCTGTGCACCCAGCCCCGTAGGACCCTGCAGGGTGCAGGGAACACCTCTGGGGCGGGATGGGGGGCAGCAGCAGGTCCCCTCCCGTCACGGGGTCTCTCTCAGCTCACAAGTACGTGCCTCGCGCCATCCTGGTGGACCTGGAGCCGGGGACGATGGACAGCGTGCGCTCGGGTGCCTTCGGCCACCTCTTCCGCCCCGACAACTTCATCTTCGGTAGGTCCCCGGGCAGGGAGGGAGGGAGGGGTGCACCGTCCCCCGATGTTCCCCCAGCCCCGGACCCGCCCGGCCAGTCGCCGTCCCCGGGGCGCTCGGCGGGCACACCCCTCCCGCGCCGCGGGGCCCGGCGCTGCCGGCTCGCCGCCAAACCTCTGCGGTTCCTGCTTCCCACCCCGCCCCGCCGTCAGATCTGCCCGGTGCTGCCGGCGGCAGCGGCTGGTGCCAGCCCCGATGCTCTCCCCGCTCCCCTCGGGCCGTGGGCGTGGGGGGCCAGCGGCCATCGGAGCCTCTTTTCTTTTCCCAGGGCAGAGCGGTGCCGGGAACAACTGGGCCAAGGGGCACTACACGGAGGGGGCCGAGCTGGTGGACTCGGTGCTGGACGTGGTGCGGAAGGAGTGTGAGAACTGCGACTGCCTGCAGGGCTTCCAGCTGACCCACTCGCTGGGCGGGGGCACCGGCTCGGGCATGGGCACGCTGCTGATCAGCAAGGTGCGCGAGGAGTACCCCGACCGCATCATGAACACCTTCAGCGTGGTGCCGTCGCCCAAGGTGTCGGACACGGTGGTGGAGCCCTACAACGCCACGCTGTCCGTGCACCAGCTGGTGGAGAACACGGACGAGACCTACTGCATCGACAACGAGGCGCTCTACGACATCTGCTTCCGCACCCTCAAGCTGGCCACCCCCACCTACGGCGACCTCAACCACCTGGTGTCGGCCACCATGAGCGGCGTCACCACCTCGCTGCGCTTCCCCGGGCAGCTCAACGCCGACCTGCGCAAGCTGGCCGTCAACATGGTGCCCTTCCCGCGGCTGCACTTCTTCATGCCCGGCTTCGCGCCGCTGACCTCGCGGGGCAGCCAGCAGTACCGCGCCCTCACCGTGCCCGAGCTCACCCAGCAGATGTTTGATGCCAAGAACATGATGGCCGCCTGCGACCCCCGCCACGGCCGCTACCTCACCGTGGCCACTGTCTTCCGTGGCCGCATGTCCATGAAGGAGGTGGACGAGCAGATGCTGGCCATCCAGAGCAAGAACAGCTCCTACTTCGTGGAGTGGATCCCCAACAACGTCAAGGTGGCCGTGTGCGACATCCCGCCGCGGGGGCTGAAGATGTCCTCCACCTTCATCGGCAACAGCACGGCCATCCAGGAGCTCTTCAAGAGGATCTCGGAGCAGTTCACGGCCATGTTCCGGCGCAAGGCCTTCCTGCACTGGTACACGGGCGAGGGCATGGACGAGATGGAGTTCACCGAGGCCGAGAGCAACATGAACGACCTGGTGTCCGAGTACCAGCAGTACCAGGACGCCACGGCCGAGGAGGAGGGCGAGATGTACGAGGACGACGAGGAGGAGTCGGAGGCGCAGGGCGCCAAGTGACGCCCGCCGCCCCCGGCGCCGCCCGCGCCCCCCGGCTTCGCGCTGCTGCAGCCCCAGGTGCTGCTCCCCCGCCATCCCCTCGGTGTCTCCTGACCCCATCCCCCCCTGAGCCGGCTCGGCCCCTCGCCCCCCTTCCTACCTCCCCCCTTTTCGTTTTTTACTGGTTTGTGTCTTATTATTTTTTTTGAATACTTAATAAATTTATTGCTGTCCAGGTACTCCCTGTCTGTGCCTGCCGGGTAGGGGGGACAGGGGACACCCACACGGTTCTGCCCCCCCAGCCATTCCCAGCCAGGGGAGGTGTTTGGGAAGCCCCCATGCACTACACCCCACCCTTCTGCCCCTCAGATCCGGCTGCCCCAGGCGGGCTGTGCCTTTGTCCCCACTGTCACCCTTCTCCATGCTGGGGGGTGTGGCAGGACACAGCTGGCCCTTTGTTCCCCGAGCTGGGGTGGCAGCACAGACCCCAGAGCTGGGTGTGTGCCCAGCTGTGGAGCGCTCAGCACACTCCTGGACCCCAGCCCCCGGGCTTGGAGGCATTGACGGGCAGGGCTGTGGGGATGGGGGTACTGGGGATGAAGGCTGCAGGGGTGGGGTCTGTAGGGGTGGAGACAGTGGGGATGGAGGCTGTGGGGCGTGGGGATGGGGGCTGTAGGGACAAGGTATGGTGGGGCTGGGGGTAGCGGGGGACAAAAGGGGCTGCGGGGCCCTCGCGGGGCCGCGATGCGTGGGCGGTGCCGGTACGTGGTGACCGTGGGCCGGAGCGGGCGGTGGCGGCGGGGCAGGGCGGGGGCACGGGCGTGGGAGGCGGAGAGACGCGTCTGTCCGCGGGGACCGGGCCGGGAACGGGAACGGGAGCGGAGACGGGGTATGGTGCCAGCACCGAGGCGTCGGGGCGGGGGCGGTGCTGGGGTGGTGGTGCTAGTGACAGAACGCCGGTGCCGGTGTGCCGGTGTTTGTGTCGCTGTTTGTGCCGGTGTGCCGGTGTTTGTGTCACTGCCGGTGCCGCTGTGTCGGTGGCAGTGCTGGCGTTTCTGTGGGTGTACCCGGGTGTCGGTGTGGGGGTGTCAGTGCCCGTGCCGGGGTTTCAGCGATGCTGCTGGGGTGCCGGTGCCGGTAGCCCCGGTGGTGTACCGGGGTGTTGCTGCTGCTGGGGAGGTGGCAGCGCTGCGGTGGCAGTGCCAGGGGGTGGTGCCGGTGCTGGTGAGGAGGCGTTGGTGGCAGTGTGGGCGCTGCTGGGGTGCCATTGGCGCCTGGCATGGGGTGACTGTGCTGGTGCCGGGGTGCGGGTGCTGGGCAGGTGCCCGTGCTGGGGGGTCGATGCCGGGGTGCCAGCGCCCGTGCTGGGCTGACGCGGGCAGTGTCCCCGGGCCGGCAGGACGGCGGCGATGGCGTCGGAGGAGCGGCTGGCCCGCTTCCGCCAGGCCCACCTGAACCCCTTCAACAAGAGCCCTGAGCAGCCCGAGCGCCCCGACGGAGCCTCCCCTGCCCCCGGTGGGTGCTGCCTCCCCCGCCCCCCCTGCCCCACACGGGGGTGGGCACCAGCCCCAGCCCCTGTTCTGGGGCGGTGCAGCCCCCCATGAGACCCCCCTTGCAGCCCCGCAGCCGGATCCCACCCCCGGGGACCCCGAGGGCGCCCTGGACCTGGGGCTGGCCGAGGACCACTTCTCCCGGCCCGTGGTGAGTGGGGAGGGGCTCGTGGGGCCGGGGGGCACGCGGGGGGCTCAGCTGACCCTCCTGCCGCTGCGGCGGTGCCGGCAGGGGCTGATCCTGGCGTCGGACGTGCCGCAGCTGCGCCGGGCCATCGAGGAGTGCAAGAGGGTGATCCTGGCGCTGCCCGAGCACTCCGAGCGGCAGAAGGACGCCGTGGTGCGCCTCATCCACCTCCGCCTCAAGCTGCAGGAGCTGAAGGTGGGGCTGGGGCTGGGCCCAGGGGCAGGGCGTCGCTGTGGCTGGGGGTCCGTGCTGACACCCATCCCTGGCAGGCTGGACCGGCCTTGGAGCAGCCTGGGATGGTGGAAGGTGTCCCACCCATGGCAGGGGATGACCTTTAAGGTTGAACCCAAGCCATTCCATGATTCCTCAGTTCCCTGACCCCCCTTTCCCCCAGCAGGACCCTGGTGAGGACGAGCCCAACATCCGGGTGGTGCTGGAGCATCGTTTCTACAAGGAGAAGAGCAAGAGCGTCAAGCAGATGTGCGACAAGTGCAGCACCATCATCTGGGGGCTCATCCAGACCTGGTACACCTGCACAGGTGGGTCTGGCACCCCGTCCCCTGCCCGTCCCTGTCTGCCCATGGCCACGCTGAGCCCCAGCCGTGCCCCCCAGGCTGCTACTACCGGTGCCACAGCAAGTGCCTGCCGCTGGTGAGCCGGCCGTGCGTGCGGGCCCAGGTCAGCCACCAGGCCGAGTACCAGCTCAGCATCTGCCCCGAGAGCGGGCTGGACAGCCAGGACTACCGCTGCGCCGAGTGCCGGGCCCCCATCTCCCTGCGTGAGCCCTGCTCCGGGGGCTGGGGGGCTGGGGGGAGCTGGGGGAGCAGGGGACGGGAGCCCCAGGGTCATGGGGCTCTGTGGGGCTTGAGGAAACCAGGGCTGGGGGGCTGCAGGGACTGGGGGAGCTCTGTGGGGCTGGGATGAGCTGAGAGCTCTGTGGGGTTGGGGGGTTCATGAAGCTCTGTGGGACTGAGGGGTGGTGAGGATGAGGGGGCTGAGGGAGCCTCTGGGGCTGGGCTCCCCTGGGGGGCTCTGTGGGGCTGGGGGAGCTGCTGGGGCTGAGGGCTGGGAGGTGTGTGGGGCTGGCAGGAGCTGACGGTGTGGGCTCTGGGGGGGCTGGGAGCCGTGGGGGCCTGGGGAAGGTGACACCGGGGCCCCGCCGTGTCCCCAGGTGTTGCTGGGTGTCCTGGGGGCACGCGCAGGGTGTGGGCTGAGCAGAGAGCAGGGCGGTGCCAGTGCCAGCCCCGTGCCAGCCCCGTGCCGCCGCAGGGGGGGTGCCCAGCGAGGCGCGGCAGTGCGACTACACCGGCCTCTACTACTGCTCCAGCTGCCACTGGAACGACCTGGCCGTGGTGCCCGCCCGTGCCATCCACAACTGGGACTTCGAGCCCCGCAAGGTGCCCCTGGCGTGGGCTGGGGGCACCCTGGGTGTCACAGGAGACCCTTGGGACAGTGACCCTGAGTGGAGGCCACCTGGGGGGGCATGTCCTTGCTCGTGGGGGTCCCTGGGAGGTGCATCCCTGGGTAGAGGTGACTTGGGAGCTGTGTCCTTTGTCATGGGGGTCCCTGGGGGGCATGTCCCTCGGTAGAGGTAACTTGGGGGATCCCATCCTTGATCTTGCTTGTCCCTGGGGATCATGGCTCTGTGTAGATGTCACCTGGGGGACCACACCCTGGTCATGGGGGCCACGTCTCTGGTCATGGGGGCCACGTCTCTGGTCATGGGGGCCACGTCTCTGGTCATGGGGGCCACGTCCCTGGTCATGGGGGCCGTGTCCCTGGTTATTTGGGTCGCTGGGCAGAGATCACTTGAGGGGAAGCCGTGTCCCCCGGCCTGTGTCCCCCAGGCAGTGTCCCTGTGGTGGGTCCTGGGTGGTGGCAGCAGGGTTGGCAGGTGCTGACGGTGGCCCTGGCGGCGTTGGGCAGGTGTCACGGTGCAGCATGAGGTACCTGGCACTGATGGTGTCACGGCCGGTGCTGAAGCTGCGGGAGATCAACCCACTGCTCTTCAACTACGTGGAGGAGCTGGTGGAGATCCGGGTGAGTGCTGGCTCTGGGGAGGACACCCCGCAAGGGCAGGGGACACCACAGAGGCCTGTGCAGTGAGCACGAGGCGGGGGCACCCCAGTGGCACCCATTGGTTCCACAGGGAGGAAGCAAGGTGGGGTGGGGGGTTTGGGGCAGATGCCCAGCCTGTAACAGGCATGAACTTGACTCAATCTGGTCTTTTTCTTGTCATGCTCCTGCCCCCATCCTTATCCTCATCCTGCCCCTACCATTGCCCTTTTCCCTATGGTCCTATTCCTGTCCCCACCTCTGTCCCCATTCCTGTATTTCCATCCCATTCCTGTCCCTGTCCCAATCCCCATCCTGTCCCATTCTCACACTGTCTCCATCCTGGTCCTGCCACTGCTGTTTGTCCTGTCCTGGGGATCCCTGCCCCGTACCCATTCCCGTCCCCTCCCACGGTGTCCCTGCAGAAGCTGCGCCAGGACATCCTGCTGATGAAGCCCTACTTCATCACCTGCAAGGAGGCGATGGAGGCGCGGCTGCTGCTGCAGGTCGGGCTGGGGCCAGGGCCAGGCGGGGCGGTGGCGGTCACACAGCGGTGACAGACACAGCGGTGACAATCACACCTTGGTGACGGTCACACAGCAGTGACGGTCACACAGAGGTGACAGTCACACACTTTCCCCCCCAGCTGCAGGACCGGCAGCACTTTGTGGAGAACGACGAGATGTACTCGCTGCAGGACCTGATCGACATCGAGGCCGGGCGCCTCGGCTGCTCGCTCACCGAGATCCACACGCTCTTTGCCAAGCACATCAAGCTGGACTGCGAGGTGAGCCCCTGCTGGGGGGCAGAGCTGCGGGGAGACCCCCGAGGAGGGCTGGCAGGGCCACCCGTGCCACCTGCCGCCTGCTCCCCCAGCGGTGCCAGGCCAAGGGCTTCGTCTGTGAGCTGTGCCGCGAGGGCGACGTGCTCTTCCCCTTCGACAGCCACACCTCGGTGTGCGCCGACTGCTCCGCCGTCTTCCACAGGTAGCGGCACGCTGGGGCGGGAGGCGGGGACGCGGGGGTGGCAGGGGGTGACCCAACACTGTCCCCTCCCTCTCCAGGGACTGCTACTACGACAACTCCACCACCTGCCCGCGCTGCGCCCGGCTGAGCCTGCGGAAGCAATCCTTGTTCCAGGACTCCGGCACGGAGGCAGAGCCCTGAGGGGGGTCTGGCCCCACTGTGGGGGTCTCAGGCCCAGGGCTGCCCCCCACCCACCACGGGGCCCTGGGATGGACACAATCAGCCCAGCGGGGTTTGGGCACTGGGGTGGCCCTGGCTCTGGGATCCTCTGCTCGTGGACGGGGCAGCGCTGCCGGGAGGGAATCACCGCTGGAGCCCAGCCCTTCCCGGCAGCATGGAGAGCCTCACCGGAGGGCCGGGATCCGGTAAAGGCCCCACAGCGGCTCCTGCCGTCCGTCCCTGCCGGAACCGGGCTGCGGGCCGGGGCCGCTGCTGCGCTCCCTGCCGTGACAGCTGCTGGCAGCAGGGCTCAGCCCTGGCACCGCCGTGGGACCGAGTCCCTGGCACACGCAGTACCCGACTCTGGTCCCTCCCCAGCCCGCGGCATCACCGCTACCGGGCCGAGCTCCGGGGGGTGCTGCGGGATCCTCCCCGGGCTGGACCGGGTGCGGTGCGGCGCCGCTGCCTCCCCTTCTCCCGGTGTGTCCTGTAGCATTAAGGAGCCTCTTTGCGCAACCCAGCACTCGTGTCCCTGCTTCGGGCGGCGCCGGGGGGCTCCGGGGGCACGGGCAGGATGTGCGAATGCCCGGGGCTGGCAGCCCGCGGGATGGAACTGCGCTGCGCGACGTGCTCGGGGATGTGCCGCAGTCACCGCCGGTCTCCCGCCCACCGGGAGTGGCCGCTGCCCCGGTGCCCGGTACGGCCGGCACGCCCTTCCCGCTGCTCCCGAGCTGTTCCGTGCCCCCAGCTCCTCCCGCTCCCCCACGCGGCGGCGCAGACGGGCAGAGGCCGGCGGTGGGTCGGTCGGTCGGTTTTACCGGATCACAGCACTGCTACATCAGAACCGGGCGGGCACCGGCACCGGCCGCGCTCCGTCGGGCCGCGCTGAGCCGTGCGGCCCGTCCGGTCCTGCCCCATCCGCCGCTCCAGGGGCCGGCGGGACCGGCCCGGTTTCCCCCCGGGGCCGCGGGCTGAGGGCAGCCCGGTAGGTCCCCGCCGCGGGGCTGGGGCCGCCTCTGCCCTCCGGGCGGGCTAACGGGAGTCCTGCGCCCGGGGACGGGTTCCATCGGTACCGACGGGACCAGCACCGGCGTGTCCCGGTGTCCCGCGGCGGGTTCTGTCCCTACGGCTCCCGCGGGCGCTCGGCGGGCAGGAAGGCGTCGGGGGGTCCCGGGGGTCCCGGCGGCAGCTCGGGGTCACTCAGGTGCTTCTTGTCCCGGCCCTGCTCCCGGGCGCGGCTCCAGGAGGGCGAGCGCAGGTACCCGGCCCGCGGGGCCGCCGGCGGCTGCAGCCCTGCGGGACGGACCCCGCCGGTCAGCGGCGCACCGGCACGGCCGCGCACACCGGCACCACCGGCCCCGGCCCCCCGCTCACCGCCGGGCGTCTCTGCAGCCGCGTTCTCCTCGTCGGAGTCGGCGAAGACCTCGGCCAGCTCCTGGTCCGACATGTCCGTCAGCTCGGTCAGGTCCAGCAGGTCGAAGTGCACCTCCAGCGAGGACACGCTGCTCAGGGGCTCTGCGGGCACCGGCCGCGGCTGGGCACCCACCCTGGCCCCAGCGGGGCGCTGCTGCTTGGGGAGCTGGGCGATGAGGGGCTTGGGGGGACCATGACTGGCTGGGGGCTAGCAGGGGACTCTAGGGGTGCCAGGGGACCCCAGGGACAGGAGGGAGAGCCCAGGGGATGACAGAAGACCAGGAACAGGCAGGAGACCCCGAGGGCCGGCAGGGGACTCTCGGGGACAGGCAGGATACCGCAGAGCAGACCCGAGGTGCTGGGGACAGGCAGGGGAGGCTGCGGGCAGGCAGACATCCCAGGGACAAAGCAGGGGACCTCAGGGACAGGCAGGGATGGCAGGGACAGGCGGGGACCGCAGCTCAGGGCCTCACTCACGTCGGCGCTCGGTGACCTGCAGCAGGCCGGCGCTGGGGATGGGGATGCCACCCTGCTCCTCCGCGGGGACTCGGGGGGTCTCCTGGGCCGGCCCGTGGGTGGGGGTCCCTGCGGGGCGCTCCGGGACCAGGGGCTCCTTGCCAAGCTCTGCCACATCAGCACCTTCGGCGTCAGCGGGGGCAGCTCCTCTCGGGCCCCCAGCGCTCGCGGGGTGCCCAGCCCGGGGCCGGGGACAGCAGGACCCCCGGGAGGGGCGGGGGGCGGCAGAGCTGCCCGAGACCCTCGTGTCGGAAGCTGGCAGCCCCCGCCCCCCGCCCCGCGCCCCCTCCCCGCGCAGCCCCTTTGTGTCGGCGAGACAAAGCGCAGGCTGTGCCGGGGCCGGACAAGGGCGGATTGTGCTGGGACTGTCCCCGCCAGGAGCGACACACGGCCACGGCCGTGCCACAGCCCGGGGCACACAGCGGTGGCACAGCCCGGGGCACACGGCGGTGCCACAGCCGTGTCTCGGGGCTCAGCGGGCACTGGGGGTGGCAGGAGGCCCTGTGTGCCCAGGGCAGCCGGGGGCACACAGCACCCTGTCCCCCGAGGTCGGTGCCGGTGCCCTGGCACCACGTGCCACCACCAAACCGGGTGACAGGCTCAGGGATGGGCATCGCCGCGCTCCCAGCAGGATGGTGACAGCGGGGCAGGGACAGAGACCCCCAACCCCCAGGGAAAGGGAAGTTCCTGCTGCTGGCACGGGGAGCTGCGGGGCGCGGGCAGGACACCGGCGGGACAGCAGCCCCGACAGCGGCTCTGCCACATCCTGACCCCGCAGGGGACATCAGGCGCCCCTGGGGCCGGGAAAGGGGCTCCTCGTCCCGCTCCAGAGCAGAGCAGAGGAGATCCCCCCGCGGCGGGCACGGGGGCTGCCCGCTCTGCCCGCTCCCGCTGCCCCGGCCCCGGGGGTGACACCGTGCCGTGTCACCGTGAGGAGCAGGGCCCCCCGCCCGCCCCACGCCCCCACCCACCGGGGCGCTGGTCCCGGCTGCAGAATTCCCCTCTGGCCTCCGCCTGCATGGTCCCGCCGTGCCACCGGCCGTGTCACCAGCAGTGTCACCAGCCCGCTCGGGCCCGGGCTCACCGGCTGCCTGGCGGGAGCGGGGCCGGATCACGCATCTCTCCCGCACGCCGTGTGCTGACTCACGGCACCCGCAGAGCCGGGCAGCCGCCGGTACCGGCACCCCCGGCACCCCCGGTGGCACTGTCCCCGCGCGGGCCCGGTGTCCGCCGCTGCCCCGGTGCCCCGGCCGGGCTGCCCCGCGGTGTGCGGGCCACGCGCGGAGGGACGGGCGAGCAGGGCAGCCCCGGCACCGCCTCCGCGGCCAGCTTCAGCCCCCCCAGAGCTCCGGTCCCCCCAGCACGGCCCCCCTGTCCCCGAGCCCCTCCCAGCGGCACTGGCACTGCCACCGCCCCGCGGGATGGCTGCAGGGCACCCACTGCTCCCCTGGGCACCCCAGGGCTCTGCGTGTCCCGTGGGCACCCCACCGCTCCTCCGCACCCCCGGGCACCCCACTGGCCCCCCACCTTCCCTGGGCACCCCGTGGCCAGCCCAGGTGCCCGGTGTGCTGCCCTGCCCGTCTGAGCGCCCGGCCACCCCCGTGTCACCGCACCCCAGCTCTGGGGCACCCCAGCGCCCCCCGAGAGCCCCCCGAGAGCCCGGGCCCTGCGGGGTCCCCGGACACCCCCGTGTCCCCCCACATTCTCCGGGCACCCCGCCGCTCTCTGCCTCATCCCCGGCTCTCCCTGCACAGACCCCCCCGGGGTCGCGTCCCCCCGCCCCCCAACTTGTCCGCCCCGCGGGGCCCGGCCCGGTTCCGCGGCGATGGGCGTGCCGGCCCGGGCTCCCGCTCTGCCCCCCGCCCTCACCTCCGGTGGCGGCCGCTGCCGGAGCCGCCATGGGACCGGGCTGGGGCTGGTGCCGGTGCCGGTGCCGGTGCCGGTGCCGGTGCCGGTGCCGGTCCGGTGCTGGGCGGGCCCGGTGCCAGCCCGCAGCCCGCACGGTCCTGCCCGCCGCGGCGGGGGCGGGGACACCGGGATGGGCGGGGACACCGGGATGGGCGGAGCCAAGGGGCGGGAGCACCGGGGGGACAAGAGAGGGCGCGGAGAGGACCGGGGAGAGCGGGGGGCACTCGGGCACCGCGGGTGCAGCGGGGACCGGGGAGCAGAGCCGGGGAGCGCAGCTGTGGGGCCAGCCCGGGTCACAGCGGTGGGCGCGGGGTGCAGAACCCTGGGCCGGGCACCGCGGGACCCCCGGGTTTGTCCCCCCAGTCCTCCCCGACCTCCCCGCCCCCCGGTTCCCCCGGAACCGCTCGGTTCCGCGGTCACCCCGTTCCGTCCCGCGGTCCCCCGGCGCTTCCTCCCCGCCCGGTTCCCGCGATGTCCCCGGCTGCTTTTCGGTGTCCCCTCCCGGTGTCCCCCGGTCCCTCCCGGTGCCGCCGGCCCCGCCCCCGTTGCCAGGGCGGAGCGTGGCGTTGCTAGGGGGCGCGTCCTCGCGCAGTGCCGCTCTCGCGAGATCTCGCCGTCCTCTCGCGGGACCTGCCGTCCGTTGCTCGGAGACGCCGGTGCCGCCGTCCGCCGCCATGGTGAGAGCGGGGCCGGGCCGGGCCGGGACCGGGGAGAACCGGGGGGAACGGGGGCTGGGGGAGAACCGGGGCTGGGGGGAGAACTGCGGTGGAGCCCCGCGCCCCGATGTCTGCGGGCCCCGTCCGGTCCCGGTGCGCTCCCGGGGCCCGGCTCGGTGTGGCCGCTGTCCCCCGCAGGGCTCAGCGCGGATCCCTCCTCGCCCGTTCACCTCCCGCGCGTGGCTTTCCGTCCTCAGGCACCCAAGAAGAAAGCGGGGAAAGGGGGCAAAGGCCCGGCGGTGGTGGACGCCCTGGCCCCGGAGGACATGAGCAGGGAGCAGGTGAGCGGGGCGCGGCCGGGAACGGGGGCGAGCGGCTCCGGGGGCCCTGCCCGGCGCCGGGCCGGCTCTGGGGACAGCAGGTGCAGGGGACAGCGCCAGCAGCCGGGTCTGTGCCGCTGGCCCTGCCTGGGGCCGGGCTGGGCCGGCTGGGCGGGTCCTGCTGCTCGGGGAAGGAGCAGCCCCCTCATCCAGCCCCGTGTTCTGGGCACTGCCCGGGCCACTCCTGCAACCTTGGGGCCTCTCAGGACAAGCAAGAGGGGCTGGAGCATGTCCAGAGAAGGGGATGGAGCTGGGGAAGGGTCCACAGGACAAGGAGGGGCTGAGGGAGCTGGGAAGGGGCTCAGCCTGGAGAAAGGAGGCTCAGGGGGTCCCTGTGGCTCTGCACAGCTCCTGCCAGGAGGGGACAGCCGGGGGGTCGGGCTGTGCTCCAGGGAACAGGGACAGGACAGGGGGCATGGCCTCAGGCTGGGCCAGGGCAGGTTGAAGTTGGATATTGGGAAAATTTCTTCCTGGAAGGGGTTGTCCAGCCCTGGCCCAGGCTGCCCAGGGCAGTGGTGTGGTCCCCATCCCTGCGGGGATTTAAGAGTCAAGTGGATGTGGCACCTGGGGACAGGGGTGAGGGGTGGCATTGGCAGTGCTGGGGGAACAGCTAAACTTGGTTTTGGAGGCTTTTCCAGCCCAAACAATTCCATGAACCAGAAGTATCTGAGCACCTGAGTGTTGTGGCAGGGAGAAGAATTATAAAAGAAAGGCCTCATTAAACCAGGCCTGCTCTGTTAAACCAATACTTATCCTGCCACTTCTGAGTGCAGCTAGTACTCTGCAAGTTCCCATGCAAGAACAGACCTGGAATGGATAGTTTGCTAACATAACAGCCTATTCTTGGGTGAAAAATAGGTGCACCTGCATCAACATTAGATCTGTTCCATGAGAACCCACAAAAGAAAAATGTCAACAACCCAAACCTCAGCACGTACACACAAATCACCTTGTGACCAATAAACTAAGTGCTGAGAAAACTGCCAGCCTGTAGGTGTTGCACATGAGGTCTGTGAAAATATAAAATGAGTTATGTGAATGGAGACTGGGCTTGTCCCACATGAAGGAAATGGGGCCTGGCTTGTTTGATTCGGATACCTGGGAATTACTGGTGTTACTGTTACTGGTGTTGCTGGTGTAACTGTTACTGGTGTTACTGGTGTTGCTGGTGTAACTGTTACTGGTGTTACTGGTGTAACTGTTATTGGTGTTAGTGGTGTTATTGGTGTTACTGGTGTTACTGTTACTGGTGTTACTGGTGTTACTGGTGTTACTGTTGCTGGGGGGTCGGGTCTGTTACTGGTTGGTGTTACTGGTGTAACTGTTACTGGTGTTAGTGGTGTTATTGGTGTTACTGGTGTTTCTGTTACTGGTGTTACTGGTGTTACTGTTACTGCTGTTACTGGTGTAACTGTTATTGGTGTTACTGGTGTAACTGTTACTGGTGTTACTGGTGTTGCTGGTGTAACTGTTACTGGCGTAACTGTTACTGGTGTTACTGGTGTTACTAGTGTTACTGGTGTTACTATTACTGGTGTTACTGGTGTTGCTGGTGTAACTGTTACTGGTGTAACTGTTACTGGTGTTACTGGTGTTACTATCACTGCTGTTACTGGTGTTGCTGGGCACTGCCAGCCATGCCCCATCCCGGGCAGGGTTTCTGTGACTCTGTTCCAGAGTCTCTGGGTCACTCAGGGCCCTGCACGGCTCCACCCCAGCCCGTCCTGCCGGCTCTGGGCTCTCCAGAGCCCTGTCCGCGGCCCCCTGGCCCTCACCTGCCTGCTCCCTGGGCTGCAGCTGCTGCAGCACGTGGTGCATCTGCGGGAGGAGCTGGACCGCGAGCGGCAGGAGCGCAGCTCCTTCCAGCTGGAGTGTCACAGGATCCAGAGCTACTGGGAGATCACGCGCGGGGAGCTGGAGGAGAGCAAGGCAGAGCTGCGCGGGCGCGACCGCCAGATGGAGGAGGCCGAGGAGAGGCACCAGCTGGAGATCAAGGTGGGCTGGAGGGCCCACGTGAGCCCTGGGCAGCTCTGAGGAGGAGAGAGGAGGAGGAGCTGGGCAGGATGCCACCCAGGAATGTCCCACCAGCATCCCAGATCCAGGTGTCTCCTGCTGAGCCCCTCCGCGCTCTCTGGCCTGTCCTCAGGTGTACAAGCAGAAGGTGAAGCACCTGCTGCACGAGCAGCAGGAGAGCCTGACGGAGCTGAAGGCAGAGGGACTCCTGTCCCTGAAGCGGGCCCAGAAGGATCACTGGGAGCAGGAGCAGGAGCTGTGGAAAGAGAAGCGCTCCCTGAACACGAGGCTGAACGAGCAGGAGCTGGCCAATGAGGCAGCCATCACCAACCTCTGCCTGGTACGTCCCTGCTGGAGCCACCTGTGGGCTGCCTCATCCCCGTGTGGGAGCAGGGGTGGGATCTTGCCTCCCTGACTCTCTGTGGGGTGGGATGGGATTTCTGCTGCAGGAATGGGGAGAAAGGATTCCTGGGTGTCCCCCCTCCCACAGTGGGGAGCTGTGAGAGCAGCAGGAGAACCTACAAGCCACTGTTTGCATCAACATGGGATCAGAGTCCTTTCCCAAAGAGCAGGAGGGAGTCCCTGGGCATGGGCTGGCTTGGGGTTTGGTTGTTTCTTCCAACACAGAGTTTCTCCCTCACAGAAACATGAGGAGGAGATGGCCCGGCTACGCAGTGACTTCGAGCTGCAGACCAAAGGTGAGGGCATGAGGCAGATCCCACAGGAGCATCACAGGGACAGCCGCTTCTGGTTCCCAGCCAGCACCCTGAGCTCATGGGGGCAGGTTCTCCCCAGTTTTGGCCATTCTTCCCTTCCCTGTTCTGGCCATTTTTTCCTCCCAGTTCTGGTCAGCTTCCCACCCCAGTTCTGGCTGATCTCCCCCACTGGAGCTTCTGGCCAGTTTTCCCCATAAATTCCAGCTGCTTTCCCTCCCCAGATCAGTCTAGTTTGCCCTCCAGTTCTGGCTGGTTTTCCCTCCCAGTTCCAGCTGGTCCCAACCCACACAGTTTTGGCGAGTATTCCCTCAGTTATGGCTGTTTTATCTCCCTTCCCCATTCTGGTCACTTCTCCTCCCCAGTTTCAGCCAGTTTTCCCCCAGCTCTGACAATGTTCCCCCAGAGATGGAGGCCAAGTACACCAGGAAGATGCAGGCCCTGCGGGACGAGCTGGACCTGCGGAGGAAGACAGAGATCCACGAGCTGGAGGAGAGGAAGAACACCCAGATCAGCGAGCTGATGGGGAACCACGAGGGGGCTTTTGGTGCCATCAAGAACTACTACAACGATGTCACTGCCAAAAACCTGACACTCATCAACCTCCTGAAGGTACTGCCCGTCCCAGTGCCACCCCTGCACCCAGGACTGCTCCTGCTGGGTGTCAGCTGGCTCTGGCCGTTCCCAGGTGTCAGTGTGGCTGCTGCTGGTGGCCTGCACACCAGCACGTGAGTGGGGAGGGTGTCCTGAGGGTGTGGGGAACTCCGAGGGGCTGGGCAGCTCCCAGGAGCCAGCACTTGTGTTCCCAAGAACAGGAGCAGGTGGAGGACCTGAAGAAGAAGGAGGCTGTGCTGGAAAAGGAGAAGGCAGATGTGCTGCGTGAGAACAAGGAGCTGACACAGCCCCTGCAGGAGGCCCAGGAGCTGGTGGCTGAGCTGCAGAGGAAGTTGGTTCACTATTACAAGGACAAGGAGGCCCTGATGGTGAGTGGCCAGCCCTGTCCTTTCATGGGCTTGTTTCCAGAGGGAAAGCACTGATCTCTGCCACTTGGTGTGCCGTGATTGCTGGGCACAGCAAGTCCTGTCCTGCTTACTGTGTGTTTGGGATCTCAGGTGGGGATCCAAAGAGAGACTGGAAGGGAGACCAGCCCCACTGCAGGGCGGTTGGTGTGGGTGCTGCCTGGTTTTCTCTCTGCTGCTCACTCTCCTCCCTTCCCAGAACACATCTCCAACACCTCCCAGCTAATCCTGTGCTCTTTAATCCTCCCTTCCCATTCACAGGACTCCAAAGCCCGTCTGAAAATCACCCAGAAGGAACTGAAGGACCTTCAGTGGGAACACGAGGTGCTGGAGCAGCGGTTCAGCAAGGCGAGACCTGCAGGCAGAGCTGGGCATCCCATCCCCTCTCCAAACCTTCCCCAAACCCTCTGCAGAGCACAGGGCGTGGGGCTCAGCAGAGGCCGTGCTTAGCCCAGGGCTTTGCCAAGCTAATCCAGAGTCGGGTGATAACTGCTGCTCCCAGCAAAGCTGCTCCCAGCCCAGCCTCTCCCACGGTCAGCAGACAGGCCTGGCCTTGTCCTTTGCTGAGCAGTCACGCACGCTGCGGCGGGGCCCCGGGCTGCGTGGGGCAGAGCAGGGATGGGGGGCACTGCCAGGGCCCCTCCTCCTGCTCCCTCCCCTTCTGGGGTGCTCGGGAAGAGCCCTGCAGAGCCAGTGCTCCCCCCACTAACCCAGATAAATCTTACGAGGCAGGAGAGAGCTCATTTGCAATTCGTAGAAATCCCCAGGAATATGAACATTGATCCGAGGCCTCATTAACAATCCATCATTAAGACAGCGCCAGATTCAGAGCGTTCAGAAATAGGCTTTGGAGGAGAGACTGTGTCCTAATTAGGACACTTATTAACTAGCTGTGAGCAGGGACTGCTGCCAGCTGTGGGGATGAGAGGAGAGACCCCCGTGTGCCGGGGGCCCTCGCTGGGGTCTGAATTAGTGCTGCAGGGAGCCCGTTGGGGCAGTCCATGCCTGGAGGGGAGGAGGAGGAGGAGGGAGAAGCGCAGGTGCTGCACCACGGAGGGAGGGAGAGAGGGGAGGGGGGAAGCTGTGCTGCAGCACCTGCTTTTCCTGTGGGCTGCAGGTGCCGTGGGGAACGGCCGGGCTGAGCTGCTGGACCAGTTTTCTGCCATGTTTGTGCTCCACACCATTGTGCAGAGCCCAGGCAGCCTTGTGCAGGCCCCGTGTCCCCTGGGGTCCCGAGGGTGCTGTGACACCGTGCTGCCTCCCGGGGCAGGTGCAGGAGGAGCGAGACGACCTCTACCAGAATTTCACCAGAGCCATTAACGAGGTGCAGCAAAAAACGGGGTTCAAGAACCTGCTCCTGGAGCGCAAGCTGCACGGGCTGCTCAGCCTCCTGGAGCAGAAGGAGGTGCAGCTCAGCGAGGTCGCTGCAACCGCCAACCTCGACCCCAGCGCGCTCTCCTTGGTCTCGCACAAGCTGGAGGTACCGGGGCCCGGCGAGGGCTGGGTTTGGGGGGCACAGCCCACTGTGGGGTGCCTGCTGCCCCTGGGAAGCTCCAGTCCCCATCCTGCATGGCCGTAGGTGGCACGTCACTCGTTCCCAGCACTCCCAGGGCCACGTGTGGTGCCGCGGGGCACTCGGCTCTGCCTCGAGAGCACAGCGTGTGGGTGTTGGAGTTTGGCACTGAGCTGTCCCTCAGGTGGGGCCTGCTTGGAGGAGCGTGGCCGCAGGCTCCGTGGCACTGCCAGCATCCTGTGCTGCCACACAGCCAGCTGACTGCCAGGGGCACCCAGGGGCTCTGTGCAGGGGGGGCTGCACCTGGTGAGCCTCGCCTGGCCGTGGGGACAGTGCAGACAGGATCCTGGGGCTCTGCGGTGCCTGCCGTGCTAAAAATACCTCTGCAGAGAGCCTGGAGACCCACATTCCTGCAGCCTGCCGCAGCTGGAGCCAGGGAGCAGCGCTTGCTGCGGGTTGGGCACAGACACAGAGAACACACAGGGAACGAGGGCTCCACCACCTGGTGCCCTCCTGCTCGTCCCCACCCAGCTCCCTGCTGCAGGGGGAGTCAGGGAAGCTCTGGGATGCTTTGGGATGCATACCAGGCCTATGGGACAGGCAGCGGATGTGTCACCTCCCAGCAGGTGGAAGGAAAGCACATTCCTGGGATGGCATCACTGGCGTCAGGCTCTCCTGCAGCTGCTGGGGTCCCTGAATTCCTGCTCTCAGCTGCCTCGGGGAGCCTGGCTCCCTGTAATTCCCGTGGTGCCGCGGCAGCAGGGTGGTGCTGCTGGAGCAGGTGCTGCCAGCACTCCCCACGCAGCGGGGCAGACTGGGATGGCTGTGGTGTTCATCTGGGAGCTGCCTGTCCCTGCCCGGGGCTGGCTGTCCCTGGCAGTGCCACTCAGAGGGGGCAGGGTGGTGGCCACCTGCCAGGCCGTGCTGCCAGCTCCTCCGTGTGCTCTGCCACGGCCAGCCTGTCCCCAGGGCTGGGCAGAGCAGCCTCATCCCAATCTCCCTTTGCAGGACTTGCTCAGTTCCAAGAATGCCACCATCCAGGACCTGCAGCTGCAGCTGGCCAGAGTCTGCAAGGTAAGGGCGGGGAGGAATCCTGGAGAGGTTTAAGAGCCGTGTGGATGTGGCACTTGGGGACGTGAGTTAGTGCTGGCCTTGGCACTGCTGGGGGAACAGTTGGACTCTGTGATCTTAGAGGCATTTCCAACCCAAACGATTCTGTGATTCCATGGCTTTGGCTTGGGGGTTGGAAATGAGGCTGGGGGTGCAGGGAGCTCTCCTCTGCTGACAGAGGGGCTGACAGGGACCCTTTCCTCACAGGCACACAACGACATGCTGCAGACCTTCGAGGCAAAGCTGACAGCCTTTGGCATTCCCCTGGACAACCTGGGTTTCCAGCCACTGTCCTTCCCCTTCCCAGGGCAGGAACTGGGGCAGGGCCCTGCTGGACTCGTTTCAGTGCCCACCTGATGCTAGCAGCACTGAGGGTCCCAGTGGCACACTGGTAGTGGGGCTGTGCCCTTTAGTGTCTTCAGGAACCTCTCCTCCCAAGGGGGACCACAGCTGGAGGCTCCAGGCATCCCTCCCACCCTACCAGGCTGCCCTTGGGGCTACCTCTGTTTCCACAAAAGTGAAGGTGATTTTTTGAGACAAACAGTGCTGTTGGGAGTTTTTAATGGCCTCGGTGGCGTCATTCCTGCGTGCCCAGGAGAAGGCTGTGCCCCTCTAACTGCCCCGGTAGGTTGTGTAGGAGTAGGGGCTGATCAGCAGCGGGACGTGGAGCTTCTGTGCCGGGTCGGTGATGATGAAGACGACCTGAGGGAGAGTGGGGAGACAGCAGTGGGAATCCCCCTCCCACAATGAGGCCCAGGGCAGTGCAGCCCCTCGAGGCTGGCCCCAGCCCTCAGACATGTCACCTGTCCCAGTCTCCCCACACTCCATACCTCCACAAAGGGGTAGAAGCTGGTGTGCCCCAGTCCCTGCCAGTACTCAGCTGTCTCAAAGTGCAGCTTGTAGGTGCCAGCCTTGGCCTGTCCTGGTGCCAGGAGGGGCTGGCAGCGCCCGTCCGCATCCGTGTGCCTGAAACCAGACCAAGGCAGTCCTGCTGTACCCCAAAACACAGCCCTGCCCCACCCCAGAGCCTGCCCTGGCCATACCCCCAAGCACCAGCCCTGCCACCAGCAAACCAACCCCAGGAAAAGGCTGGGCAGCCAGTTGTGCCGGGAGCCTTTGGCCAAGCTCACAGAGCCCTGGCAGCAGCGTCCCTGCCCACTCTGGTGCCACCAGCTCTCCTACCTCTGTTCCAGCTCCGTCCACTGCAGCCCCGGCTCCTGCAGCTGGGCCAGGCGGACGACCAGGCCGGCAGCCGGCAGCCCCGTGGCCGTGTTCAGCACGTGGGTGCTCAGGGTGCCCTTTCCCACCCCAGACATGCCGTCAGCCTGTGGAGAGGGGGGAGCAGGGCTGGGACCTGTCCTGGCAGCACCTTCTGCCTTCTTGTGCTGCAGCCAAACCCCTGCGCTTCACTCTTGCCCAGAGCTGGGATATGGAAACCCACGTCCTTCCCGTGCTGCGCTGCTCAGCCCCAGGCACCACGTGGGTGCCAGCTGGTTCCCACCAGGATCCAGGGCTCTCTGCTCACCGTGCTCCCTGCTCACCTGCCTGTTCTGGTGGGGCACAGCACAGCAGCCAGCCTGGACCCGACGAGGAAGCAGCCCCGTCCCAGCCGCCCCATCCCTGCCCACGGCGTCACGTGCGGGCGGACATTGACCCTGCCCAGCTCTCTGGAGCTCTCTGGCCTCAAGGTCAGCACTGCTGAGGGCAGCCAGGCCCCTTCTCCTCCTGGAGCTCCCAGGCTGGGGTGGGAGCACGATTTGGGGCTGCGTCCCAGCAGCTGCAGGACCAGGCAGCCTCCCTGGAGTGGGACCAGCTCCCGCTGCCAGCCCGTGGAGCTCCCAGGCTGGGGTGGGAGCACGATTTGGGGCTGCGTCCCAGCAGCCGGCAGGACCAGGCAGCCTCCCTGGAGCGGGACCAGCTCCCGCTGCCAGCCCAGCACCCTGGCGAGCTTACCTGGCTGTCCTCTGTCCCACTCGGCCAGGGAGCTGTGGCCGGTGACCCCACGCAAAACGCCATCCCTGGCCTCCCTTGCTGGCGCCACGGCCTCTCCCGTGGAGCTGGCGTGGCTGGATGCCGCTATCCTGGCACGGGGCTCCCGCAGAACCGGGTGCTCCTCCCCGGCTGGGCTGAGCTGGCACGGGCAGCTTCCCAGGAGCCCCGCTGGCACCCACACTCCGGCAGCGCCGTGGCCCCGAGGCTAGCGGCCCAGAGCCTGGTGGGAAGCTGGGACAGCGGGCCGGGAGGAGCCACAGCACAGCTCCCATCCCAGTCTCGCCTCCCACCATGGAAAGCACCCGGAGCGCATCGGCGCTGCCGCAGCCGGGCACGTGGGGCTGTCAGGAGCCAGCACCGGCCTCCCCGCAGCCTTGCCCTGCCCCTCTGCACTGCCAGGGCAAAGGAGGCTCAGTGTCTCACCTGCACCCTGATCCGGGCGGTGGCGGTGGCTCGCAGCCCGAATCCCCCCAGGTCAGCAGCCTGGATCTCCAGCGTGTATTCAGGGACCGCCTGTGCCAAGGGGCTGTGTCACCCACAAGTGGGGGGAGAGCTCGGTGGGGGCTGAGTCTGGGGCTCACCTCTGCCTTCAGCCCCGGCACGGCCACGGAGACCAGCCCAGAGGTGCTGTTGATGGTGAACATCCCAGGCTGGGGCTCCTCGGGCGCCTGGCTCAGGATGGAATAGCTCACAACGCCATTGCTGGAGCTCATGGCATCGTCTGCGTCAGTGGCCAGCACCTGCAGCACCGATGTGCCTGGAGCAGGTGGTTACTGCTGACCTGTCACACAGCCCCCCAGTGCTGCCTGCCAGGCCGTGGCACTGGTCCCACCTGGCTCAGCTCCCTCTGGCACAGAGCCGTGGAAAACTGCCTGGGTGAAGACGGGCCGGTTGTCGTTCTGGTCAGTGACAGTGATGATGATCTCCATGGGGTCTTCCACGGGCTGCCCGTTGGCCGACACGGCGTGGGAGTAGAGCTGCAAGGGCACAGTCAGTGTGTGTGCAGTGCCCAGGACTGTCCCCGTCCCACCGCAGCTGTCCCCTCACTCACCACGTATTTGTCCTTCTCCTCCCGGTCCAGGGGTTTTGTCACCTCCAGCCACCCCGTCTCCCGCTCGATGATGAAGACACCCACGGGGATGGTATCTGCTCCCTGCCCCGTGATGCTGTAGAAAACCTTGGTCTCCTTGTCCTTGTCGGATTTGATCTGGCAGAGAGGGGGGAGGAGGGGGGTGAGATGTGTCCCGGTCCCCCAGGGATCCCCCTGGACCCTGCCCAGGTCTCCACGGGCACACCCACCTGCACCAGCTTCTTGGGGAAGGGTCCCCGCTCGTTCTCAGGGCAGTTGATGGGGGGGATGACCCAGTCCCTCTTCTGCCGCCGGAGGCCGTGCCCGTGCTCCGGGAAGACCAGCACATCCTGTGGGATGGAGAGGGGGCTGCAGGGCCGCGCAGGGACACGGCTCTGCCCGGAACCTCCCGGGGCATGGCCGTGCAGCCCCCCCGGCCCCGCTGCCACGGTCCCACCAGCAGGAGGAGGAGGAGGGTGAAGCTGCAGGGTGCCATGGCTGCCGCTGCCCCGGCTGCTCCCCCAGGTGCCTGCTGGGAACCTGCCTTGCTGCGTCAGTGACCTTGGCCAGGAAAGCTGAACCGGCTTTCCAGAGCTGCCAGCCCCGGGGGGGTCCGGGGGCGCCGTGCGGGGGGACCCAGCGCACGAGATGCTGCTCCAGGCTGGGGGGATGCAGTCCGGGGCTGTCCCTCGGTGGCCAAGGGAGCCCCCACTGCCGTGGGTGGGGGGCACACAGAGCCCCCCCGAGCGTTCCAGAGCACCCGTGGCGGGATGGAGGAATGGGGAGGAGGCTGTTCCTTTGGGGCGGTGGCGGGAGGTGCCGTGGAAACACCGGCAGGGACGGGTGGCGGGACCAGAAGGTGCCCGGAGATACCCACCGGGCTGCGCTGAGGGACCGGGGACACCGGGGGTCGGCACCGAGAGACCGGGGTGCCCGGAGAGGAGCGGGCGGTGCCCGAGGACTGCCGGGCCCTGCCGGGGAGTGCCAGGGGGTTCCAAGGCGATGCCGATGGGTGCAGACCGGGAGGTGCCCGACGGGCAACGGGGGCTGACCGGGAGGTATCGCGGATTGCCCAGAATTGCCAGGGCGTTCCAAGAGGGTGCCAGGCGGTGCCCCAGGGTTTCCGGGAGGTATTACGGGCTGACAGGAGATCTCAGAGGGTCCCGCTGTGCCCGGGGGGTGTTGAAGCTTCCAGCACCGGCCGGTGCCCGGGGGGTACCGGGCTGTGCCTGGATATTGACGGGTGGGTGCCTGGGAGGTAACACGGCGTGCTGGGGATTGCCGTGGGGTCCAGGGGAATACCGGGCGTGCCCGGGCGGTATCGGGGTGTTATACCGGGGACTACCGGGAGTGCTGTAGGGGGTGAACCCCCGGTAGGAGGGTCCCGGGGGTAATGAGGGGTCCGGGGCATTGCCGGGGGATGCCTTGGCGTGCTGGGGCCGCTCTCCGGGGCGGGGCGGGGCGGTACCTGCGCGGCCGCCGCCTCACCTGGGGCGTTGCGGGGCGGGACGGGGCGGGACGCGGCGGGCGGCGACCGGAGCGGCGGCGGCGGCGGCGGCAACGGACGGGCCATGCGGGGGCCGCGCTCCGGGCTCTGCCCGCTCTCCATCTTCATCCTCCTCCTCCTCTCCCCGCTCCTGCCGGCGGCCGCCCTCTCCCCGGCCCCGCCGTGCGTCCTGCCGGGGCTGCGCCGCGGGCCGCTCCCCGCTCCAGGTAACTCGCACCGTCGGGGCGCGGCGGCACCGGGACCCCCGCAACGCCTCGGGGACGGGCTGGGGCCGCGATCGGGACCGGGATCGGGGCTCCGAGCGCTGGGGGGGCGGCAGGGCCTCCCTCACTGCCGGGATCAGGATCGCTTTGCCTCCGCTGGTGGGGCCGCTGCTGTTCGGGAAGAGCTCGCAGTGCCCGGCTGCGGGGCTGCCGGGGGTCCCCGGGCTGTGGGGCTCGGCCATGGGGCTGGCTGCGCTCCTGTGCGCTAGGGCTGTGTCCCCCCGGGCCGTGGGGCTCGGCCGTGGGGCTGGCTGCGCTCCTGTGCGCTAGGGCTGTGTCCCCCCGGGCCGTGGGGCTCGGCCGTGGGGCTGGCTGCGCTCCTGTGCACTAAGACTGTGTCCCCCCGGGCTGTGGGGCTCGGCCATGGGGCTGGCTGTGCCCCGCGGGGCTGGCGGTGCCCGTCTGGTCTCTCTGGGCTGGTGGCGGCTGATGCCAGCGCCTTCGGCCCAGCCGCGGGGCTCCCCGCAGGGTGGGCGGCCGGCGCCGGGCTGGCAGTGGGGCCGGGTGCCCCGGGGGCACCCTTCTCTGGCCGTGGGGTGCGGGCTCTGGCTGGCCCGGGGCTGGGCAGGGTCTTGCTGCTGCCAGCTCTTGGCCCGCTGCCGCGCTTGGCCCGGGCCCGGTGCCCTCTTGGCTCGGCAGCTCCCGGGAGATTGGGGCTGCCCGGGAACGCGGCCGCAGCCAGCGCTCGTCTAATGGCCGCGGGAGCGCTAAAAGCTCTCCTTGGCGGTAAGTGCCAGGGAGGGGCCTCGACCTCTGTCTGCTGTGGACACCACATCCCGTTTCACATCCCTTTTGCATCAGCTAAGCCTGCCAGGAATGGAGGTGGGCGCTGCCAGGCCCCTGCTGCGGGCACGGGGGGGGTCTGCCCATGCCACTGCGACCCCCTCTCCGTGGGCAGCACATGGCCCCGGCACCCAGCGGGCACGGAGCCCTGTGGTCCCTCCACGGAGGCACCCCGAGGACACGGTGGGGTACCCCCTGTGCCGCCTGCCCCTTCGGAGGGAACAGCAACACGCGCCACAGCTGGGGAGCGGGGCTGGGGGCTCCCTACGGCGGGGGCTGGGGGCTTCCCCGGGCCCCTCGTGTCCCGCTTGCGGGGTGACTGATGCCCCTCCAGCCCCATTAAAGTCCCTTATCGCGGCCATCGCGACCGGAGGGGCCCGGTGCTGCCCTCGGGGCGCGGTTGCTGCTCCCCACATGGCCCCACGGTCGCCCCCGGGCTCGGTCCCTCCGGTGCGGGGCAGCCGTGGGGCACGGCTCTCCCTGCCCCGCTCCACGCCTCCCGCAGCCCCCCCAGCCCCGCCCGGGGCCGCTCGGCCGCCCGGAGCTGGCTCAGCTCCGCTAATCCCCTAATCCTTGCCCCGGGGGGTGCGGAGCCGGGGCTGTGTCCAGCACGAGGGATGCAGCGGGGGAGGCGGGGGAGGGAGATTCAGTGCCCGGTGATCCGGCCACGGGGGGTTGGGAGCCCCGAGGGGGTGACACACCGGGAGGGGGCTGGGGCAGGGCTCTGCCCGCCCAGGAATTTCCCATCATCTATGAGACAAAGCCGAAACTTCCACCGAAACTTCCACCGCGCTCCCGTACGGCGCCCGGTGTTCCCTGCCCCGCTCCTGGCGTCCCCCGCCTCGCTCCGCCTCGGGGCTCGGGGGCTTGCAGGGTCCTGGAGATGGTGGTTGCGGCTCGGGGGTGTGGGGGGAGAGGTCCCCCCATCCCCCTGACCCCTCACCCTCGCAGGGAGCTCCGGAGGCTGCGCGGGGCCGTACAGGACGGAGGAGCCCGATGTCGGGGTGCGGGAGGACGGGGGCCCCGTGCGGCTGCCGGGGGTGGGCAGGGGGCTCGCCGTGCCCCCCCGAGCTGCTGGTTCTCCCCGGAATGCCGCTGGCCAGCCAGAGCCCGCCCCAGTTCCCGCAGAGAGCAGGCGCTCCCCGCAGGTAACCTGCCCCGCGTGTCCCCCGCCCCTGCTGCACCAGCCGGCTGTGCCCTCACTCACCCCATCCACAGGAGCTGCCCAGGGCTCGCGCTGCTCTCAGGAGGCAGAAGAGGGACTGGGTGATCCCCCCCATCAAGGTTCCTGAGAATGAGAGGGGCCCCTTCCCCAAAAAGCTGGTTCAGGTATGACCCTGGTCGGTGTGGGCAGGGGCTTTGGGTATGGAGGTGAGTGCTGGGGATGCTGACCCCATCCCCTTGGTGTGTGTCTCCTCCCAGATCAAATCCAACCGGGACAGAGACACCAAGATCTTCTACAGCATCACAGGGCAGGGAGCAGATGCCCCCCCCGAGGGCATCTTCACCATTGAGAAGGAGTCGGGCTGGATGAAAGTGACGCAGCCGCTGGACCGCGAGCACATCGACAAGTACCACGTAGGTCCTGGCCTGGGGACACCAGGGGGGTGCTGGGGTGCTCTGCCAGGCCCCCCACTCACACCCCACCCCGCAGCTCTTCTCCCATGCCGTGTCTGAGAACGGGAAGCCAGTGGAGGAGCCGATGGAGATCATCGTGACGGTGACAGACCAGAATGACAACAAGCCCCAGTTCACGCAGGAGGTGTTCAGGGGCTCTGTGCCAGAGGGAGCTCTGCCAGGTAGGACCCCGTGCCTCGGAGAAGCTCTGCATCCCCCCAGCCATGTTCCTGGGGCACAGCCCTGGCACTGAGCCCCCCAGAATGGCACTGACCTGCACATCCACATCCCCAGGGACCTCGGTCATGCAGGTGACAGCCACGGATGCAGACGATGCAGTGGAGACCTACAACGGTGTCATCGCCTACTCCATCCTCAGCCAGGAGCCACGGGAGCCCCATCCCCAGATGTTCACTGTCAACCGGGCCACTGGCACCCTCAGCGTGATTGCCAGCGGCCTCGACCGGGAGGTGGGCTCTGCAGCACCGTGGGGCAGGGTCCCAGCCCCAAGCAGGGGCTGACACGGTGTCTGTCCGTCTGTCCACCGCAGCGTGTGCGGGAGTACACACTGACCGTGCAGGCAGCTGACCTGGATGGGGAGGGACTGACCACCACAGCGCTGGCCGTCATCGAGATCGCTGATGTCAATGACAACGCCCCCGAGTTTGACCCCAAAGCGGTAACGTGGGCTCCCTGCTGGGTGTGACTCCCTGTGCCCGCTGGGCCCTGGTGCTGATGGTGCCCCTGACCCGCAGTACGAGGCGGCCGTGCCGGAGAACGTGGCCGGGCGGGAGGTGGCCCGGCTGGCTGTCACCGACCTGGACGAGCCCGGCACGCCGGCGTGGCGAGCCGTCTACTCCATCCTGCGTGGCAACGACGGGGGTGCCTTCGCCATCACCACCGACCCTGCCACCAACGAGGGCATCCTCCGCACCGCCAAGGTCTGTGCCACCCCGTGCCACCCCACTGCTGCCCAGGGGGGGTCCTGCCTGTCCCACCCTCACTGCCCACGTCTCCCCCTCTCCCAGGGTCTGGACTACGAGGCCAAGCAGCAGTTTGTGCTCCACGTGGCAGTGGCCAACGAGGTGCCCTTCATCGTGAAGCTGCCGATGGCCACTGCTACGGTGACGGTCACTGTGGAGGATGTCAACGAGGCCCCGGTGTTCGTGCCGCCAGTGCAGCTGGCCACGGTGTCAGAGGATGTGCCCCCGGGGCAGACCCTCACAGCCTGCACGGCCCAGGACCCTGACAAGGCGCAGGGCCAGAGGATCAAGTGAGCGTGGACAGGGTTGGAGTGGAGGTTTGGGGTGTCTCTGCTGCCCCTCGCCACAGCAC